AGATGATTTTGTTCTTTTTTCCCCTTCTTTAAAGTTCTTTCTTTTGTGAAAAGCACCAGTTCATATTTTCTTATTATTACGTCGGTAAGATCGAAAAATGTTATGCATATTTCATTACTCAATAATTTGTATCTAAATGTAATTTACAAAATACACGATTTACCAAAAAAAAAGCAAACCGAGCAAAGCTCGGTCCTCCAGGTACTATTTATTTATATTACCCAAGCGCTGATATTCGACATTTATGTTTTAAAACGTAATGTATAGTTTGAATCCATTTCTCTTTTCATCCATTTAAAATGTATAAGATACTTACGCGTTAACACAAATCGACAATTTTCTTTGCGAGCTAAAAGAAAATATTACGTAAGTCATATAAAATACTAATTAGAATTTTTTTATTAAGGACCCATTATAAATAAAATCAATTATCATGTTAATATTATATATAATAATCAAAATCACATATTTCAAAGCTTCAAACGATATTTAAGTATATTACATAGAGGGCGATTTTTTTCTAGATTTAGTAATGCATTTAATACCGTTAATTTTGAGATCTTGTTGAGTGTGTTACGTTCCATTAACATATCTCCACCAGTGATTGGCTGGTTTCAGAGTTATTTAACTGGACGACGGCAGCGTATTCGCATGGAAGATAAATTCTCATCTTGGTGTGAATTGCGCGCTGGAGTGCCTCAAGGTGGCGTGTTGTCTCCTCTACTATTTGCCGTATTCATTAATACAATTTCTCAAAATATCACTTCTCTCTACCACATGTATGCAGATGATCTCCAAATATACACACAGTCAACTCTTGAAGACTTGCCTATTGCTATTTCTGCCATCAATGATGATTTAGCCGCTATCAATGATTGGAGTAAAGGCTATAGTCTCCATGTTAATCCTTCTAAGCCTCAGGCTATTATTATTGGTGGTGCTGGTTTCATTTCAAGAGTTGACTGGAATAGCTTCCCCTTGGTAAAATTAAATGGCGTTATAGTACCGTATTGTACCACTGTGAAGAATCTTGGTGTCCAATTTAATAACTCGTTCTCGAGGTCTGATCAACTGAATCAAGTGAGCAGAAAGTCATTTGCTGCGATGGGTTCTCTCCGTCGTTTGCGTTCTTTTCTTCCCATTCCAACTAAAATTATGTTAGCATAATCCTTACTTCTTTCCATTCTCGATTATGCGGATGCAAGCTATCTTGATTTAACTGAAGAACAACTAAATAAACTTGAGCGTATTCAAAATTTAGCAATTAGGTTCATATTTGATACGTTCATATTTGATTACGCAAATATGACCACGTCTCCGAATTTCGTTCAAAGCTCAAGTGGTTACCCATTCGATTTCGCCGGAATCTGCACACTGTCTCTCTTCTGTACTGTGTATTATTTAACCCTAGGACTCCAAGTCATTTAAAAGAGCATTTCAAGTTTCTCGGCCATAACCGGCCAGAAAGAGTTCTGCGATCCGCTGGAGAACTAATTTTAGAACCACACGCGTATAAAAGCAAATATTACAAAAATTCCTTTACAGTCAAGGCTATCTGCTTGTGGAATGAACTACCTCAGCAAATTCGTCGTGCAAAGACGCTAGACAAATTTAAAAATGACGTAAAGAATCACTATCTTTCCCTCTGTAATCCATAGGTAACATTGACAATATTAATCTATTATACTTTCATATATTTATTTATGTTATTTGTATATATTATATATTTATTGATGTTTATGTATGTTTATTATAATTTATTTTATTATTATTAAGTAAGTTTTTAAGCACACCACCTCCCACTATTCATAAGTTTATTTTCCTTGTCCTAAGGTTGTCTGGAAGAGATCGCTCTTTAGCGATAAGACCGCCTTATTGTACCTAGCTTTTAAGATTTATTTTATATGAACTGTATAAAACTTTTTGTGGTGTACAATAAAGTATATATAATAATAATAATAATAATATTTATGCCGAATATAAAAATGCATAAATGCAAAATCATTAGGAAAAATTTAAACGAGTTTTTAATAAATAAAAAATTATTCAAAATCTAAAATAAAAAAATCTTCCGGACATAAATGTACAAACATTTAAAAAACCTACGATAGACATCGCACTAATTGGACTTGAACGTCGAATGATTAACATCCGTTATGAGCCCTGGGTCGCGCGAATAGAACTAAAAAACTTGTACAAGTTAAATATTACCTTGCTTTGTGCTTTGAAATTTCTCAAAAGCCTGCGAACCAGGACATTTCAGTTACTGTTAGACTTTTGAAGGATAATTAATTAAGCTGGTAAAGATTACTAAGTTGGTAACATAAAATCAAACTTTAAAACACAATTGAAAATCAATCAATCGAGTAATTAAACTCAGGCGCATGACTTGTTAGTCCATAACAATAAACCATTATAAAAACAATACTCACCATCTATGAGTCATAACAAAATATGAAATTTCCTCTTCAGTTGAATTTACCGCATTTATTATGTCATAGAGTTGACAGACTAACCTTAATAACTTAACATAAACTTTTCGTATGACATTCTCTCAAACAAAAAGTATTGTTGATACCACTTAAATAATATGTGACGTCAGAGTTAACGATACAAGAAGTTTCATTGATAAATTTATTTAATACGGACGTCCTGACAGATAACTTTTTAGATAGTTTTAAACTATGTAACTTTACTAACAGATAACACTGAGTTTAAAGCAATTCGGCGTAAAGTTAAAACTTAATATAATAAAACTGTTTTGGATATAACTTGATTAAGTACTCCGAAATATAGGCTTACAACGGAAATTAAGTGTCAGTCTAAAGTTATACCTAACGATATAAAATAACCTTTTAAGTGAATATCTGCATCATAGGTCTGATATTTTTTGTTGACTTGAAGGCCATGCATTCTTAACTGGAAAAAGATCTTCTTACTATAATAATAAAGTTGAATTTGCTATTAGCGTTCTATCGAACGCTCCGTTTTACATAAGACTGTATTGTATTTGGTTACTATATAATTATTTATTGTACCAATTTCGAAATTTTATACTGTTTTTCACTTACAACACTTTTAATAATATTTATAATACTGTTACAATTACTGGGTTGTCATCTTGCTTGTCAATGTCCTAACCGTTTTGTAAGACGTACTTAATTTTGTTTTAAATTGTTAATCTAGAATAATACAAGAAGGTCGTTTTCTGAATATTACTTACATTTAAAGAGAAAAATCGAAATTTGTGCCCTTTTTCCAGAATATTGTATGCGACCATAATTTGACCAAAATAGACACTGGGCGCGCTAGATGGAAGTTCAGTATAAGAACTCAAAGTGAAAGAAAGAAGAAGAAAAGGAAGAACAGGACAAATAAAAGTGAAAAAAATAAAAGGTGTAGTCGTGTAAAAAGAACTTCTGCGACCATCAGAAGACTCGCACCTGTAGGAGACAAAATGAAGGATTTGTGTAAATTCAGTGAACGTTAAAACATCGGCCCTTGACTCAAATTGCATGAGCCCTATAATAAAATAATTTTTTTTTTTCAAAATTGTGCTTATGTTGATATAAAATTAAAAATATTACGTAGCGTAGTGTTGATTTTATTTTGTATTGGCGTTAATGTTCGAGTTTTGATCTAAATATTGGAAATTTAAAATAATACATACTCGTGCAGTAGAATTGTGTTTCTGATTGTCACTTTTGTGTGTTACTGGACCTTCTAACAAAGAAAAAACGTGTTAAAATACAAATTCAATTTCCATTGTATAAAGTTTATAAATTTAAGTTATTCGTTAAGTGAAATAGCTTATATTAATTTTAACCTTTGAATTATTTAATTTGTGTTTATTTATAAAGATAAAAAAAATCGTAACTAAAAACCTTGCATAAGGTCGTAAACACTTACTTTTTAGTTTATCAACATATTGATAGGCTGTATAGTCTACTTACTTTTGCCTGCCGACATCGTCGTGCAATATTTTCTATAAAAGTAAATTAAAGATATTTAATAAATTAAATAAGTAGTTTTAATAAAGTAAAGTAAAGTTTATCCTGAAACAAAAACATTTTTAATATACAACTTCTGATCACCTAGTTCTGCTTCTCTGGAGCGACTTTTCGCTTCTGAGGCAATAAAGATGAGACCACAGAAGTAAAATGGGTGACGAAATATTTGACCTTACTTAATTCGTAAATAAAAGCTTTAAAATATAAAATTTTGTGACAATTAATTCTTTGATCACTCCAAATAATATAAAAAGTAAATAAACCTTGTACGTTTTCTTTTAAAAATAATTTTATATATTAAAAACATTTGAAAATAAATATCAGGAATTTCTCGTGCTCACTTTAAGATGATAAAACTGATTCCTTCTTAAGGGATGACATGTGATGTGCAGTTTTAGAAAGATTCATGAAATACATTTTCTAGGGGTAACAGGAATACAATAGTCTCGCAATGTAATATGTGTATGGAAGTTTAGTTGAAAATGTGACAAAAAAGAATCTGCTTATGAAATAAAACTCTATAATACATAATTATTAGTTTTGATACCACAAACAAACGTATCCAGAAAATATATCATTCGTGTTTATTTTAATTTTTATTTACACGTTGCTGTACGTTTAATAGCATGCAATACCACAGGAAAAAAATGTGACATAAAGCATCTGACGTTTTAACAGGACGTCCGACGTCAATACCTACCTACGTACGTGTTGTCACGGTATTTGTTATTCTATCTAGTTCTAAGTTCGTGCTTTCATTTTTGTAAAGGAGAATTATGTATTACGTGTCCATTAAAATATTAAGAGACCTTCCGTTACTGTTAGGGTTGTAAGTTTTTTAAAACATTTATCAATAAGTTTGTTCGTTTACGTGTCATACATTTGAACAAGCTTAATTAAAAGTTTTAGGCAATAATGGCAAAAACAAGAAGTGAAATTAGATTTATATTTTATGCCAGTGCAATATTTATCTGCTATTTTATTTTTGCAATGCTACAAGAGAAAATAACTCGAGGCAAATATGGTGATAACGATAAGTTCACGTGCGCATTGTCGCTCGTCTTGGTACAATGTTTCGTGAACTATGTATTTGCTCAAGTTTTAATGGTAAGTTAAAGGTAACGCGATTATAAAAACTCATTTGAACAATCAGCAGATAAAGCTTAATGTGAATAATGTACACATTCCAACAACAATCGGCCCTGCTTGTATTTCCTTATATTTAAAGCTATCTTACGCTACAATATTTACCACTCCATTTTTTCTTAAAAGGTAAAATAGACTTTTTTGAATTTTCAATGATATTTACATTGCTTAGCTCTGCCACAATTTTTTTTATTGTGTTTTTCTGTTGACTGTTAAAATCATACATATCATTTAAAATTCACAGTAACCAATGCTAAATTAAAAATATTTTATTTCAGGTGTCCTGGAAACATGAGAAAGACACAACTCGCACTGTCTATTATTTCTCATCGGCTTTGACATATCTTTTAGCAATGATATGTTCAACTATGGCTTTACAATGGATTAATTATCCGACACAAGTAAGGACATATGGACTATAATATGATTTTGTTACTTAAACATTGTTTGTCTCCTTTATATACTAAGTGAAAACAGATTTCTAATAATATTATTGTGTCTAGGCCGAATCATTTATATACATATCAGTTTAAATATTCAATGAGTAAACTAATCAGCCATTTTTATGTTACTTTGGTGTGTATGAGAATTGAGTTCATATGGCTATGAGATGTATTTAAATAAAGTTATATTATCTTATATGCAATATTATAATAAAATGGGGACTTATATTATTATTATTTTTATATATTTTTATTTATATATTTTTATATATATTATTATTATTAGTAGTATAATATAATCAAAAGCAATCCCTAAGACACTGAGAGGAAAATAAACTAATGGATTTATTCACAATTATTATATATTTACTAATACATGTGTCATGTGACTGATTTTGTAAAACATGAAACATTCACATGAATCAAAGTGTTTAAATTTAAATAAAAGAATCACTTAAATGTCTTTGTTATTGCAGCCCATGTTTAACTAACGGAAAAAAACATGAGCTGTTATTCATTTTCTATAAGAAAATCGCCTAGACAGTGACGGAAATAGTAGTGTTTTAATTATCTAATAATCACTTAAAATCTGTATTTTGTTTCTATTAATTTTTCTGGTCTTTTCTGTTAATTTTTAGGTAGTTGGGAAGGCTGCAAAACCTATTCCCGTCATGATCCTTGGTGTGTTGATTGGACGCAAAGCATATCCACTCAAAAAATATTTATTTGTTCTCTTAATTGTTATTGGCGTGGCCCTCTTTATGTATAAAGATCAGGGCAAGAAGACTTTGGATAGCTCACAAAGCTTTGGTGTTGGAGAGCTGCTGCTAATACTTTCACTGACTATGGATGGCCTCACTGGAGCTGTGCAGGTATTGCATAACTTATAGACAATTCTTTAATCTGCTTAAAGTGAAAACGTAAAGTGGGACATTTATAGGCTGTTAGCCTATAAATGTCCCACTGTTGGGCAACCTACTCAATACATAGGGTATTATTACAGTCCACCAAGCAACCCACTGTGGCTTGGCAGAGTTCACATATCTTTGACAACACATCTCATTCAAATCTTCATTTTAAAATGTTGTTATGTTTATGCATATAGTACGTGAAGTTGCTCACTAGATGGCACTAAGCATCACTAAAAGAGAGAGATATTTGATAGTCTATTTTTGTCTGTGAAAAGTTGACAAGCTTACAGGGAGTTTATCTGATATAACATGAACACCACTTTGGACATCTACAGCTCCTGATCAGTGGTAGATGCTTTGCCGATATTTTAGTGTCCTGTTTACCCTTTTTTTTTTTAAAAACGGTGGCCACCTTCTGTATGTTTGGAGGGACTCTGGGATCTCCCACGGAACGCACCGGTGTCCCTCAGTACTGCGCGTGAGTACTCCCCGGAGCAGGATAGCTTCCCCGGTTCCTTCACCATCTTGCAGTAGCTCGAGACCACTTCGAGCTGCTCCCAAACCGTGTCCCCTTTTAGGTGTCCCGTTTACCCTACTCACCAGACAAATGGAGCCTGCCTGTGAGTAGAGTTGCCATTGCCTAGAGCTACAGGGTGCGCACGTTACCTACAAGAGGCAGGATCCTGACGGCAATGAAAAAAATTTTTGCACATTTCAGTAACAGTTTTTATTATCATTTCCAGGAACTCATCAAGAGTGAATCTTCCCCTACGGCATATTCAATGATGTTGAACACAAACTGGTGGTATGTTTATAATTTAAATACTATCTTTTTTACTTGTTATCTAACAAATCTAGTTTGTGCGACATGACGCCAGGAATGTTAGCTGAATTTCCTTGTTGAATAGAAATGAACCTTTGAGCGAGAATAGAAGAAGCATCTACGGCAATCTTAAAAAAAATGATATGCGGGACGATGAGTTAATGGCTTCACACTTTACCATTAGGTTGTTATTAAGCGAATTCTATATTCATTGCTTATGCCAAATATTAAAAAATGTATGCTGTTGCTTCTTCATTTTGCATTTGCGAACAATCTTACATTGTGAAGAATTATTTAATTTTAAAGGATGAAAAGCTGAGCTTTACTTTCATGTGTACACATGAGTATGTCTTTATGCGAACTGCAATTAATTATTCAATGACTATTGGAGCTGATACTCTTAATCTGATCATATTATGAATGTTCAATGTTAAAAAATCTGATTTTTCTCTAAACTATAATTTATATAAACATAAAATATTAACCATAATAATAATAGCATTTTAAGCACTTTATCTACTGACTATCATTAAATTATAAATTTTCCAAATTAATTTTTCTATAAAACTGTTAATTTACCGAGATTGTAAAGTAATTGTAAGTCCTGTGTGCGGAATTAGAATATTTGATTGGTTGTCAAAGATCCAAGAAAAAATAGTGCATTGAGTTCCTCCTCACGGAAGAAATGAAACTTTGAGTGCCTCACATTTGCGCTATGTCTCTTTCTATGCCCCCTCCCCAGGAGCGTTGAACGTTTATCGCAACAATGCTTTCATACCCCCTTCATGGTAGTGTTAAATGTTTAAAGCAACCTTGTTGGAAGTCGCATTAGAAGTTTCACTTCAAAAACTCTAGTAAAAGGTTTTTGCCACCAATCAAAACTCATTGAATACGTAAATTATTTCTCTTTATTTTAAAACTATTGTTGATTGTATGATTAATGTAGATTGTTTGTGGTTATTTCAGGTCAGCAATAATTTCTTCAGTGGGTGTGATTTTAAGCGGAGAGATATTCAGATTTGTTGCATTTGTAACACAATACCCTGAAATCTTGGTGTATCTTGCGGGTTTTGCATTGATGGGCGCATTAGGACAACTGTTTATATTTTACATGGTAATTATGAACTAAATTTTTCCCCACAACGGTGTATTTTTTTAATGTGAAAAGTTGCCAAGGGAGCAGATGGTTCACTTGATGTTAAGTGAATACCGCCGCCCATGGACACATACAGATGCGTTGACAACCCTTTAGATTAGGCTCCGGCCACCACACTCACCAGACGAAACGCGAAAGTATTATACTTCCACTTTACGCCGGTCTTCTGTGAGTTCGTGGTACTTACCCGGAAGAGCCTGCCCATTCGTGCAACAGCCGGGGCTGCTGCGAGGCCCTACCACGCACACATATTGCATTTTTTGTCAATATTCTAATAGTGTTTTTAATTGTTTTTTTTTTAAAGAGCTCTACTTTGCATAATTGTAATGAAGCCTTAATAATCATGGTTTCTAGCAAACTAAATGTAATCGCTTATGGGGGTGGTTTAAAGCCCCAGTTTGTAAAATAAGAAAACTTGTACCAAGACTTGTCAAATTCATAAATTGGTAATCATGTTGTTGTTGCATCAGATGTGCAATGTTATGTAATATGATAAGAGAAGTTAAAAGTTTCGACGTAATCCTACTTACCTGCGTGACAGACTGAGCTAACCCATAACAAATACTGTGTGATGAATACAAATAATGTGCACGACTAAATTTATATAATGATAAATACATATATGCCTATAAATTTCTCACTGCTGGGCAAAGGCCTCCACTGTAAAGAGTGTGTTAGGGCAAATTCCACCACACAACTGGACTGTTGATTGGGGAACTTCACATATTTTCGATTTTTTATATATATATATAAACTATAAACGTCCCACTGCTGGGCAAAGGGCTTCAGTGTACAGAGGGTATTAGGGCATAGACCACCACGCGACCCACACATGTCATACTTTCGAAATATTGTTTTTTGTTATTACATTTCGAAAATACACAACTTTCCTCACGACTTTTTCCTTCACCGCCAAGCACGTGGTAAGTCAGCACTTAAAATATTCATTGGTGCTTGCACCGTGGATCGAACTCAGGTTGCTCTTGTAAATTGAATCAAAGGCGATAGTTGGACACTGAGCTATCACGACTCTATGTATGTGTATAGAGTTCATTAAACTAGGTGTACACACAGAACGAAGTGGAAATATGATGTATGTAATATGATTTAATAACACATTCTAATTTATATTTTTATTGTACTTTAAAACATTATAATGTGTAGGAAGAAGTGCGAAAATAGGGAAAGAAATAGCTGTATACAGAATTGCTATGTGTATTTTGACTGCTTCAGTTTTTGTGCGCTAGGGCCATATCTAACTCGTATTCGTGTACAGGGTGGCTTTTCTAAGTCGATCCATTTTTTTATTAGATTCTATACATAAATAATGTTATATAAAAAAATTATAAATTGATTAAAATCACTCGTAAGTAATTAATTTCATTCATTTGAACTTATCTCAAAAAGTGCGTGATTTATACGCAACTTATTTTACGCGCAATCATTCATTACTAACACGCACACAAGTTCGTGCACAGTAAAATTTAGGTATTTATGAATGACTACCGCATTGTCAACACGTTCTGTCTTTTAGGGAATAGAAAGTCATTTTTTTTTTTGGAAAAAAAGCTTTGTTGCTTTATTTCAATAAACGGTTATAATACCGAGTTTGAGCTTCCTGTATAAATTTGGGCACTTCTCAAATGATCTCCCTGTATAATATCATCGTTCGGCGCCAACTTTTTTTAAGGCTAAGTCTCATGTTATATATGTCGATGGGCGGCTAGTTTGACAATTTTCACAAACATGCTATACCACGATTTAGCAAGTCTCGATCTATGCCATCTGTACTAGTAATTCGATTACATGACGCGAATGGTTATTTATCACCATCTGTACGTTTGAGAAATGAGCCTTGATAGCTCAATGTTCGGACGCTCGCTATTAATTGGATATACTCGAGCAACCCAAGTACAAATCTATGTATCAATCTATTTGTGTATGTATACCCAAGTATCATATATATATATATATATATATATATATATATATATATATATATATATATATATATATAGTGTTGGCCGTTAGTATACGCATTTATTTATTTACTTACATATTTATAAATATTTTACTATTATGAATTATGATTGTATAAGTAATTTTCTTTTTCATTCATTTAGTTAATCCACACCTTTATTCCTAAATTATTTCTTTTTAATCCATCCAAAGGTTGCCTGGAAGAAATTACTCTTAGTAATAAGGCCGCCCACTGTACCCATCACTTCTAATTTAAGTTTTAATTTTTGTTTGTTTTATTTTTATATTTAAGTTTATTCATTCATTCAAATCTAGGTGCCGGCACCTTTAATATTGTAAATTTTAAGTGCTGATTTGTCACGTTTTCAGCGGTGAAGGAAAAGATCGTGAGGAAACATGAATATTTTCGAAATAAAAACAAAAAGAAAACAATTTCGTAGACATGTGAAATCCGCCAATCCGCAATGGGGTCGCATGGTGGACTATGCCCTGTTCAGGGGAGGTCTTTGGCCAGCATCAAAATCAAAACCAAATGTCTTTATTCAACGTAATATGGAAGATACACTGGATTATTGATAGTCAAAACACTACCATCGGTTCGGAAACGTAAGCCACTCACTCTACTGAGAAGAACCGGCGAAGGAAACTGAGCGGGCATTTCTTTTTTATTTATTTTTAAATAAACAGTTTGACATGAATTCATTACAAATACAATATAAGAACTCTGATTTAGACATCGTGGATTGAAAGAGCCTGGAGCGATTAATTCATAATCCAGTGTGTTATCATTTTAAACATATATATAGGCTGTTGTCTAATGCCCTGTTTCTGTATTCAACGAACAGCCGTTGGTTAAATAGCATCGTTACTTTCATAACGACTTGTGGATTAAAGGCGTGTACGCCCGGTTCCTATATTAACAGAACGGCGTTTTCCTTACAAGCCGTTGAATTACCTACGGAAAGTGAGTTACTAGCGTTCATTTGATCTTTAAGGTTGCTGAGTTCGGCCCGCTCCCTTGCTCCGTGGTGACCACCACGAGGAAGTTCTTCACCGTTCTCGCGTCCGTCATCTTCTTCGGGAATGTTCTGTTGAGCCGTCAATGGATCGGTGCAATTCTGGTTTTCAGTGGTGAGTGCTCAATCATATCTATACAGATAAATAAAACACTGCCACCGGTTCGGAAAAAAGCCACTGACCTGAGAAGAGCCGGCGAAAGAAACTCAGCGGGACTATTTTTTTTTAACTTACTTTGACAAAAAAAAATAACAATCATATGTGTAATTTATTAAATTCCACCCGAAAGAGCCTGTAGCGATCAATTAATTTCCAGTGTGTTTTATCATTCAAATAATCACTAATACTATAATAGCCTTTAACACACAAATGTTCCTTTAAAAGTTTTTGAATTTAGCAACGGGTTCATTTTGAATGTTTTCTGAGATTTGTTGTAAAAGCATATACATTGACCCATAAAAGATTTACTTATTCTATGCAATCTAGTTGTGGGTAGAACTAATTTATGCTCGTTCCTAGTATTTACATCATGCACAATCTTGAAAAGTCATTCTTATCTTTATGGACATACATAATATTTGCAAGTATAACTTTTGCAGGATGAAGATAGTGTTTATGTCGTCCACAAACCATTATACTGTGGAAACAACTAAAATATACCAGACGAGCCATATCCAAATCAGTCAACAGCCTAATTTTTTTTTCACCGCAAACGCTTCTGAGCTAAGCCTCCTTGCCAGTTTATTAATATGGATTGCAATTTGACATTTTTCTATTCAAAAGCAATTTCGCATTTGTCAATTTGTCTGTATGTCTGTTTGTTTCGGCTAATCTCTGAAACCGCTGGATCGATTTTCACGGGACTTACAATGACAAATAGCTGATTTAATAAACAGTAACTACTTTTATTTTAGAAATATTATTTATTTTACGTATATTTCTAAAATAAAAATATTATGAATATTAGAAATATTATAAGCTATTATAATTATTTTCAAAGTTATCATAGTCGTTACATATAACAAAAAAATATAGGTAAATTTTGATACCATTATTACTCTCGTTCTTTTAATATATCTAAAATATTAGGGTTTACGCTTTTAATGTCTTTAAAAAAGGTCCATCTAATTTGTATACCCTCCCTTACAACCAGATAATTTTAAACGTATAATATCACTAAAGAGTAGAAATGGAGTGAACAGAAGTTGCACTGAAAATAGCAATTACCACAAGTCTAATAAAAATTTTAATATTTGTGTAATGTGACATTTTCTACAATGTTCCCATAATTTATAAGGTCTTGAATTAAAATAGTAAATAGTAGTGGAGTAGAAATGGTAAATCGAATATCTGTTGAATAAACATTTTTGTTTAGTTATGTCTCACTACTGGATAAAGGCCTGTTTAGATGTGGTCTATGTTCAGTACTGGACTAAAACAGGCTGAAATGATAATGATGATGAAACATTAATGTCAGTGCGGGAGTACAATTCTTTTGCCGCTGAACTGCTTGTATACTTAATCTTATTGGTGACTTATTGAGGATGCCTTAGAAGATTAGACCAGCAATCCATAAAGCAAAATCATTTTCTCTACAATTCTTTTCATTTGTCAAAAATGTCAAATTGAGCAGATGGTTCACCTGATGTTAAGTAATAACTGCTGCCCATGAGCATTTGCAACAAATGTAGAATTGTAGATGCCAATTTTTACTAAAGCGGGCTCTGGTACCCTCGCTAACAAGACGCACCGCACAGGTGTTATATCTGTCCTACTTCACACTGGTCTTCTGGAAGTAGTAGTTCTTCCCCGGGAGATCTGACCATTCGTGCAATAACGAAAACTGTTGCGTTGCCGTACAGTTTTATTTTACTCCAATCGCCCACTGCAGCCACAGAGATTTCTATTGGTGTTTTATCACAACCTAGTTATAATTAGTTCTGGATGTTTTGTGTTCGAATGAAATACGTTGGACTTTCACAAGTCTAATGAATATAGCAATTAAAACTTTTTCTTTTCCCTATCTAAGGAAACTCTAGTGTGGATAAGATAATCCTGTCTTGTACAGTTTAATAGAAATAAATAAAACATGATCAAATCTTTCCAATTCTGATCATTTATGTAAAACAGTAAAAAATTATGATCATGATTAATTTTCAAGTTAATGTTAATAAATATATTTTGTTTGATTTAAATTTTATTTTGATAACAAGTCAAATTTTCGTTTCAGGTCTATTCTTGGACATCTTCTACAGCAAAGGCAAAAGTCAAGCGTCAAAGAAAATACCCGCTAATTAAACTCTTGGATTTGTCCAAAGTACCTAATCAAGTCAAGTACCTAATTTAATAAATGTATGTGCAACATATTATTATAATACAAATATATTCATGGTCTCAGTAAATATCTGTGTACATATCTAATAAAAATTTAAACAATCAAATACTGTGCAATATAATCATCTGATATTCCTTAAAATAATTTACTAATCTTCCCTAAAGAAATGCCGTGCAGTTATTTAGGATTCCAACAACATATTAACCAAAGGTGACATTCATTTTGGTCCCTATGAATGTGATTTCAATTACTTATAAATTTTTTTTTTTCAAAATGCATAAAACATCACATTATTTGTGAATTAACTCAGTACTCTGCAATGTATGTATTTTTGTTGAAGTGTATGTAATGTTCATTGAATGTTATAATGCATTCAATTGCATGTTGACTTTCTGATTTAAGTTTTGCGCGCAATGATTGTAATAAGCAATGTTTTCAAAGAATGTGATGAAATTTATATCTTTTTTACTTTTTCCCAAGTTTTGTATTGAATTACTGTAGTTTGTTTATTTTGTTGGATTCAACAAAGAACAATATAGTGCAATGTGTGGTGAAAATATCGGTGTGATTAAAATTAATTGTATATCAATTTTATTTATTGTATGTACCTATATATCTGTAAAATAATTTTAAAGTGTAGTGCCAAATAACGGAAACATACCATTTTATTAGTAGGGGAGCCCACGATGCCAAATGGAGATTTACTCGAGCGTCAGAGACCTATTGGGTTGCACAGCTTAGATGATAAGTAGAAAAAAAATGTTATATAATGTATACCTTTTCATCGGTGTACATGGACATACTCGAGCGCGTCAGATATTGTTAGCATCAATGGCCTACGTATTTTTTATAATCTACGTATGTTAATCTGATCGTTTACGGTCGGTTAGAAATGAAAAAAAAATGTTCGAGCGCGTCAGATTTTCTAAGGGGGTGTTAAGTGAACCCAAAAAACGCTTTCATTCATTAAATATTGATTCGATGTGACGCAAGCTCGCGGCCAACGTCCCTTATTGTAATGTGCAAAATTATCGCCATTTTGAAATACTGGAGCGCGTCAGGTCTCAGGTTATGATATGAGCGCGGTATGATAACGACACGCTGTATGTGGTTCATGTTTATGTCCAGACGTACTGTCTTATAATCTGACAATTATCTAGAGAGAAAGCCTAATCTGACGAAAAAAAATTTTTTTAATCATTGAACTTAATTAATTGATAAGGTCATAAAATAGCATGCAAATGATAAAGTGTATGTTTCTAATATAAATTTAATGATTGAGTGTATTTACAATCTTTATTGATCTAATATTTACAAGATTAAATCTATCTAAAATTACATATTATCTAATAAACCTAATCCACGCGGCATGGTGCCAAGAACGCTAGCTGCATTTCGGGCGGCCTTATATATGAGGCTCGTATTTGGTGGAGGTTCTTAACCGGGTACAAGGCATCCTCCTCTATATTAATCTGCCGCGCTCGAGTTAATCCTGAAATCCCCGCTTGGGCTCCTCTAACATATAGCAAGCTAGTTAGATATCAATTGTTACATGAATTTGAAGCTGTATTTTCTTTGTAGAAACGTTTATTGTGGAACAAATTTTCCACTGTGGATTTTCATATCTAGTTTAGATAATTTTCATTAGATTTAAGTTTAATTATCTGTCACCAAAGTGACAAATTTATGGATTCAGCATTTTACATTTTTTGAACAGTCTTTTAGTCCACTTCATTTCATCAACCATTCCATCATCAGTGTGGACTACGCTGACTACAATATTCATTTCATGTATTTGTCCCATACAAATAATATTGCACATAGACTTTTGGAAAGAGACAACTGATTTCGGCTACATCTCTGTCGTGCGAAGCAATAAACAACTGACACACATAATTAAGTAGCTGTCAGACAAGGAAAACACTACCATATCATAATTCACCGATTCTCTTTCCAAAGATCTATGTGCAATATTTATCCCCGATCACTATAAAAAATTTGTATTTTCTGCCATACAAAGTTACTGTATGCATATATCAAATTGACAAAAATTTTATGTATACCTTTCTAATATTTGTACTGTATATGACATGATTCTAACTAATATTATACATCTATTTTTCGATTAAGTTCTTTTTGTATTATATAGTAGAACTTGTTATTTTTTTATTCTTTACTTAGTATTGTACACAGAAACTGACAGAGATATTGTGACATAGAGTCCTGAGTATAGTAAAATTGTTGTACCTAATATATCTGGTACATCTGAATTTAGCGCACACCATCAAGATAATGTTTAATTTGTGGCTTGGTTTTATACAATTATTTTTGATGTAAAGGTCATTGATCTTTGTATTACGTGTACAAGTAAATTTGTAAATTGTCTTATTACTGTATCAAATATTATTGGATTATTGATGTAGTACTGTAGATTTTTCTGTGCAGGATATTTATTTGTTATCTGTTTGTGTCGATAGTAGTTCTGAATAAACATTGGGCTCTTAATAGCAGTTTTCAATTCATATGAAACTAAACCAAATTTATTCACTTTTGGATGTTATGAAATGAAACACAAATAGTTTTTTTATTTTTTTATTCACTACAATAAAGTCAACTACAGTAAAGAACAATAACTCGTATCTATACGAGGAAACTACAACATTGAGATGATCAAAAAGAGTACTACGTATTTCTTTTAATATCCTTAAAGTAATTACCCTTTCACCAGAAAGCTATGTTGACTGGGACGATCCTCTTCACTCTGTTAAAGTTACTCATTACAAGTAATTATTTGAGTACATCCGCTGAAAGGGTATTAATCTAAAATACAACATAAAAGTATAAGGAATAAATTTCAGTTTGGCAAATGTTTGGGAAATGCGTTTTTTTCTTTGATATTTTGACTAGATATGATTTGTTTTCAAATTTGTTCATCGAACCGTGTGAGTACCCCGGAATTTTTACTCACGGAATAGAAAAAAAGTTTTCTCTATACCATGGTTTTACTGTTGCTAAACCACCCCGCGTCAGTTACTGTCCGCAGATTATATCGTAACCCGCGACACTCAAGACAAACCTTACAAGACACACGAAAAGCCTTCGTCCAATAATAAACTTACGGCCTGATGTCGTTTACAATATATTCGCAAAAAAAAAACAGTACGGTTTATCAAGCGTTAGACACCGGTGTCGGCCGTAAACGTTATTTGTCACAATCTCATTGTAAAGGTGAAGCACCGTCAAATTTTAGGGTACCCATTAATTTAAATATCACAATCATTACTAATGTTTTTAAAATGCTTCAAAAGATACAGGAACCTTTGCAGCAAAGAAGACCTTACATTACACTACCACTAGGTGTATGACGTTGACGTATGTCATTTGGATTTAATAACCTTAATTATTTACTAACGCGCCACAGATTACATACTAATACTGTCCTCTACGTATAGACTGCTACGTGCCAAAACAATATCAGAAGCGTAATTATTTTCCCTTTATTTTGATGGTTATGTTATAAGATAAATTGGTATGCCTACCTAATTATATAATCGAAGAACCTTAATATAGATTTAAGCAAATTCTATTGAAAATGAACACAGTTGTCCGTCAATGCACATAATCTGTTCCATCTAATTTAAGGGTCGTGGACCTCAAATAAAATAAATAAATATATGTGCGTATTTGATATGGAATATTACGATATATATTATGAATGAAGATCAATTTTGATAATTGGTGAGAATATGTAAATTGGAATAATGCATAATGAATATTTTAAACTACGCCTAGCATATTCCTTATTAGCTAAAATTGTAGACAACTACTATGGAAACTTCAAGGTATTTTAAACATTGAGCATCATTTTATATTTAATAATTTAAAGTTAATAAATAGAATAAAAATAAAAGCCATTCACTATAAATTACAGACTGGCGTTAATATCGAACCTATTAGTCGAAACACAGTCGAAAACGTATAAAACGCAGTCCTAAATAAGTATTAAGTTAATAAGAGTAAATCGTTTAATGGCTCCTTACAACAAAAATAATCCTTTTAAAAAACTTAAATACAGAAAACTAACACTTGGCAATTGGTGAGAACGTGTATGAAGTTTCGTGATGTTCTCTAAAGTTCCCATTTTTTTTTCATTTTCCTTCAGAATTAATATGAAATGAGACCGGTGTTTGATTTTTAAAATAAGAATGGTAAATACCATGAACGTATGTCAATTTTTATGACTATTAAATAGATATGAAAAATCATTCAAATAATCCGTTTACGAAACGGACGGAGTTTAGAACACCGTTGACTTATAAACAGTCTCACCCTTCAGTCTTTACTAAATCGATGGTCCGTTTAGTTGACTATAGATTGCCTTGAGGCGCTCTTGTAATAGGAAACGTAGTAATAACACATTCGATATTTTGTAACAAATGATTTGATTAGATATGTATATACGTTCAGTTGAATTTAAATGTCTCTAAAAGTTGACTTATCGTTAAATGCTACATTAAAAGGACCTACATTCAAAAACCTTTTATAGGTAATATTTGGATTAATTTAGATAATAAGTTACAGCGTGTTGTTACAATCGTGACAATAAATGAACACACATACAAAAGATAACTTTTTAAAATTGTATTAAACATTTACATTATTTAAACATCAATATTTACCGAGTTTTAAAATTTTGACGCTGTGGCAACGAATGAAAGTCTCCGAGTGTATGAATCAGTCAGTTGTAGTTTTATAGAATGTTACAAATTTTGTTTCCTTTTTACTTAATTAGTTTGTTTGAAAAATGTATTTTTATAATTATGGATTTATTTAAGTTTATATTTTTTTATGACTATTGGCAAGTAGGGGGAGGCATATGTTCAGCAGTGGACTCAAACAGGTTGAAATGATGATGATGATGATTGGCAAGTAGCGTTAGACGTGTGTGCATTTATTTTCGCGGTTGTAACGACACGTTGTATAATTTATGCAATCTTTCAGGGTAGAATTTCAGATGATTGAATCGACGGGCGTACTGCCATTGTTGTGCAATTGTTGTTGTTGATGACTAGTCGGTTCCTTGTCCGTGTTTACAAACTGTAAGAGGAAAAACGTATCAATAATGTATATACATAGTAACAACAATATATGGGAATTACTATAAATAAGACAGCTATTTCTCATATATTAAGCTGAGGTAGGGCCACGCAATAGTCTTGACTGTCGCATAAATGGGCAGGTCTGTTCAGGGAAGTAGGTACTACGACCTCATAGAACACAGGCGTGAAGTAGAAGTGTAATACTTCTGCGTTTCGTGAGAGATATAGCCGGGACGTTTGTGTAATGACGTTTTACAAACTTAAATTTTACGCAGACAAACACCCAGATGCGAAACAACTATCTGTGGGTCACACAAATAGTTGTCCCGTGTGGGAATCGAACCCACGACCCCTGACGCCGAAGCCAATACTTTGTCAACTGCGCCACGGAGTCATCAAGTATTAATAGGTGGTAACGCATTTGCAATCCTATGAGTGTTGCAAATGCCCTCGGATGGCGGTTATTACTTAACATCAAGTGAATTTCCATCTTCTTATAAAAAAAAACCCGCCAAGCGCGAGTCGGACTCGCTCACGAAGCGTTCCGTACCATAGTTTATAAAACGGCAAAAAATCATGTCTGTGGTATTAAGCCCCACTTAAATATTTTTTAATCTCTTTTTTAGTATTTGTTGTTATAGCGGCAACAGAAGTATATCATTTGTGAAAATTTCAACAGTCTATCACGTTTCATGAGATAGGTGACAGACGTACAGATTGATAGCGGTTCCCGTTTTACCCTTTGGATACGGAACCCTAAAAAGTACGAATTGGCTGCATGAACGGCACGAAACCCTTCTAGGCCCGATAGCTGACCCCGATTGCGTATTAGGAGTTTTCAGTACGCCAACCAACATACACCAAGTAACATTTATTTACAATTAAGAAGCCGGCGTGTCTTATTTCGCGCGCAACGTCAACACTGTAACATCTGCCGTTGTAAAAACTCCACGTTAGCGCGGCGCTGGCGCGGTTTCATAGTTCCAATGCGCAGATAAAAGCGCAATCGGCCATCGATCACGCGGAGCTATGGCGGGGGAATGCGCTATTAAACGTCTGCTAGCGTATACAGTTGAGGCGCCGACTCTGGATTTCGGGGGCGAATTTGGAGCGTCACATCCGAGTATTAGCCATTTCACTGTTCACGTAAGATATTAATGCGAATGTTGTAAACAACTTCACGCGGGTTCGTTATCGTATTGTGTGATATTTACATCACTTGGATTTCGGAATGATACGGATGGTTTTTAGAATGAACAAAGTTTGAGTAAAATATTTTTTTTAGTTTTCGCTCAGTGTGCAATGGTCGATAAGAAAGAGAAATGTTGAGAAATAAATTACTTATTCCATTCTGTTTAAAAATTTATGTACATTGCAAAATTTTCACTGTTTTCATTATTTTCATCTATGTACCTTTTGCAAAGTCTTTGGTTTCTAAAGCAAACTGCATAGAGAATATTATCTATATGATTATATTTGTTTCCTATAATTTTAATTCACTATAAAAAGAAAGGATTCGAGGATGGATAAGCAACAAAGTGACCAAAATTACCTCGACACTTCATCCGCGGTGGCACAACAAACACCCACACGAGAAAAGTTTCCCCGTGACCTACCAGTTAACAGTTCATCCAAGCTGAACACCTGTCTTCCTCAACTCAGTCTTCAATAGCTTACAACCAGTTAAAATGCGCCATCGTGTCGTGTCACCTTTTCCACAGTATTTTATCCGTTGCAATACATTGGATACTAACGTGATAATATCCCGCGGGGTGTTTACTTCGGCCGCAGGGATGACCTTTATGGATGTCAGGTTCTCCGAAAACTCCTCTCGGTACATGTTTCTGCAAGTGAATTTGTTTTCGCTCGAATTTAAGTTCAATACGTGAACGGCTCTCTGAGTTCCGCCAAAGAAAGGAAAAGCAAAAAAAGCGGATTTGCAGAACGTTTACGAACGGAAAGATGACTTATATTCACAATATACTAAGGTTTCGCTTTGCGATTCCTTAAAAACTCACCTGGGACGGGATCGAGTTTTCGATTTTGAAGTCTCGCTGACTATCTGGTAGTGGACCGGCGGCGGTTGCATTTTACTCATCCGCATCAATGGGGAATCCGCGCCCATTTTGCTGCAAAAAGTCCGTTCGAATAGACTAATTTCAAAGAATAAATTAATCGCCGCTTATTGTACATAAAAATGTCCTATCATTATAATTTCTCTATTATTTATATCCTCAGACCAATAAAAAAGTGTAGACAAAGCCGTCGTAAATAATTGCGACGAACTATGTGATGGATGGTGTCAGCTTTGCATGCGTTCGGAGATATCCGCATATGTGCACGATAAAAATTATGCAAGCGTTGTGTTGCGACTCCGAGTGCGAGAGATGTACTTTGATGAAATTTTTTTATCATTAGGTACTATTGGTCTGGTATATTACAGTGGCGGACTAACCGTGACACCTTCAAGTTCCCTTGAAAAAATACAAAAACGGGGCTTTAAAATTATGTTGTGTGCGTATCTAAGAGGATGGAGTTGGAGTTGGCCCATACAAATATTATTTCTTGGAGATAAAATACGAATACTTAAATAAATAAACAGTCTTAACTGGTAATTTACAATTTATAAATAAATTACAACTATTGCTAATCAGGGCTGTAGCTAGCGCCGTATCAGCGCTACGGGAACGAATGAAATAAAAAGCCCCCCGATGAATGAAATAAAACGGGCTAAATAAATAAATCTCTTAGGTCATACTTAACAACTTAACAACTTAAAAACAAAATCTTAACTTATACAATATCATACACGATATAACAATGTCATACAAGAGGTTTGCCATGTTTGCGCAGTAAAGGCATGAAACCAACAGTAATGTTACTTTCAGGCGAGATGTAGCCTGATTGTTAGATTTTAAACTTTAGCATCATGTAATGCATTATGCTAAAGTTGCTAAGAGAAAAGAGAAAAATGCTGTGAGAGCAATATTACATGATGCTAGAGTTGTCAAATTTAGGGGCCATTATTCTTTATCTGGAAACATCATGTAAATTTTACATTTACTATCTAATTATGGACCTATTTTATAGGATCTTCTTTTAAAGCGGAAGGTGGAAAACATTATTTAAGCTCCTCGGAACGTATACAATTTATCGAATAACTCTTGAGCTAAAATTAAATTGTTAAGTTGTTTTGATAGCGCAGTTAGAAAAAAATATTGTTTTAGCTGTCGCAGTTACAAAATATATTATTTAAATAATATTGTTTCTAACAAAGTTTAAAAAAAATATGTTTGTTAAAACAAACAAAGTTTAAAAAAAAATGTTAAAAAAGTTTGGTAAACATAGCGCAGGTTTTGAGCTATAGAAATGATTGCGTCTTGGACAAATTTGAAGTATTGCAAATTTTGTAAATAAGATTATAATAACATATATAAGATTATAATAATTATTACAGAACATATGCATATATCGCACCGTGCGTAGAATAACGTTCTGTGATAAAATAGAACGAATTTGATTTTATCGTTTGTCGGAAAGTCATAATTATTGTCTACACTTACAGATGACATTAAATTTTTTTGCGTGTCACTTATTGATATTGAGATTCAGAATAAAACAAGATTCCATCTGATTTGTGCTCCGCAGTACAAGGACATAATTATGTATGTTTAGACACTGTTTTTGTATTCTTTCTTTCTTTATTATTTATTGTACACAGAGTATAAGAGAAAAACAAAATTACAAAAAAACAAATAATGTACAAAGGCGAGCTTAACCCTAAAAAGAGTTTTCTTCCAGCAAACCCTAACGTAACATTAGAACAATATACAAATTATGATAGGTAGGTTTGTAAAACCAGATATATTTATACTCTGAACTTTAAACCTTTGTACTGACTAGACTAAGCTTACTAATGTCATAGACTAGTGTAAAATACACAATTAGAGTCAATTGATAATTATTGCACAGTCACAGCCATAAAAAGTGGGTATATTTTTTGTTTTTCCGTTGAAAAAAGTGCTACAAGTAAATTTAACTCATCTCGAGAGGTCCTTCGAAACTTCTTACTACTAAGGGAAACTCCTCACTCCTGCCGCCACTTTAAAAGATGACTACGGACGTTATTAGGTCCCGATGCTGGGCACAGACGTTCTCTGGAATACGAGGATCACTCCAAGAGACAATATTTACTAATTGTCCACATCAATTAACATTCCGAAGACATATAGACTTCTTCTATGTGTTTTCTTTACCACGGTATCTTTAAAACGTACGAAAACGTCAGGTCGCGACAAAAAAGAAGGAAAAGTAAAAAAGGCGGTTCCACAGAACGTTCACGAGGGAAAAGGTGACTTATATTCAAGGTTTCGCTTTGCGATTCCGTAAAAAATCACCTCGCATTTTACTCAACTGTATCAACGGGGAATCCGGTCCCGTTTGGCAAAAAGTCCGTTCAAATAGACTAATTTCGAAAGAATATACTAATCGTAGCTTATTGTGTGCAATGCTTGTTTCCGTCTGCGGGTTTATATAGTTTAGCCACTGACGCTGAGTTTCGGGAGCAAATTTGGAGGGCTGCATTCGCCTATAGCTATTTCACTGTTTACGCTTTATATTCATGCGGCGTAAGTTGTGAACAATTCACGCGAGAGCGTTGTTATATTGTATAAACAGTTAAATATCGTCTGGATTTTGGAATGATACGGCTCGACAAATAAGAATGAAGCGAAATAAGGTGTCGTCAAAATTTTTATACGATAAAATCTTTAGCTTTTGCACAGTGTACCTACGACAGTAGTAACAGTCCAAACTAAACATATATTTTATGCCTTAGTTCGCGCTATGGTTGACTGCCACTTGTACGGGGGAGAAGGGGATCCATAAAGGATTTTTCCCACGGAAAAAAAGGGTTGCAGATGCGTTCACAACCTTTAGAAAATTGGGCTCCGGCTACCTCACTCACCAGACAAAAACGCGAATGTAATTATACTTCCACTCGACGCCGGTCTTCTCTGAGGTCTTGGTACTTACCCGGACGAGCCTGCCCATTCGTGCAACAGCCGAGGCTGCTGCGTAGCCCTGCCACGGTACATGTCTCTACAAGTTATTTTGTATTGTTGACCTGCAGTTAACAGTCCACACTAAACACATATTTATTCAACTCAGTTTTCAATAGCTTTCAATTATTTAAAGTTCGCATTGTTCTGTGCTACTTTTTCCGCTGTAATGTTTTATCTGTATTAATATTATATTGTATTATACTAACTTGCTATTATCCCGCTGGTAATTGACTTCGGCCTCTGTGATGACCTTTACAGCCATCTCGTTCTCAGAGGAAGAATCCTCATCGTACGTGTTTCTGTAAGTGAATTTTTGTTTACGCTCAATTCAAATTACGTTTTAAATGTGGTTTCTTGAAGCTGCGCGGAAAATTTGTTACAAACGACATTGGAAGTGATAAAAAAAAAGAATGTATCTGACAGGATTACACTTACTAAGTTCATATTGAAACAAACTCTTTTAAGCGACGAAATGGATGGATGGACGGATGGATGCGGGCTGCCCAGGACCGGGATAGTTGGCGCACTTTGGGGGAGGCTTACGTTCAGCAGTGGACGGCAATAGGCTGATATTGTGTACTTGTATTGTATCAATGCTGTGCGTTTCAAGCGAACCCATTTACCACTTGCTCGCACCCTATGTATACGATTCGAATATTTTGATATTCCGATGACATGTAGGTAGACATGATTGTCAGTGCTTGCAAAAAAATAAACTCAGCGTTTCGCCGTGCGATTCCGTAAAACCTCACCTGGGACCAGCTCCAATTTCGGAATCACTGTCGGAAATCCGCTTGACCGCTCCCAACGATTGAATCTTCCTTATCTGCACCCACGAGGAATCAGGTTCCAGTTGGCTGCGGAAAGTACGTTCAAATGGACTAACTTCGGAATAATACATTAATCGCGGCTTATTACACCCACAATAATCTTGAAGTCTTTCATTAGTCTAATGCCGTGTCCAAATATTTATATTTTATTTTATTTGTTGTACATGACAAAGTTAATATTAAAATAAAATAACAGTCTATTGTATAAATCTGTACTACAAATGGGACACGCGCGTTTCATTTACACAAAATATACTTTAGTGGTTTTTAGCGGACAATCTATCTTTTGTATCTAGCAATATAATTAAAGATAGACACTTTTCGATTTTTATGGAAAATTAAATAAAATAAATACGTGAAAAAAATTAAGATTTTGAAAAGTTTTTATTGTATTTTACCTTTGTAATTTAACCTTTTCATTTTTCGTTTTATGTGTCTTCGAAAATTCTAAGAGACATATCTATTTATCGGTAATACTGGACAATACTTAGAGATTGATTTATTAAAGGTGGCCACAAAAAGACTACGACCAACATTATGCGTTATTTTTATTTAATTTTAAAGTTTTTGTTTTCTATTTCTGTCTGCACCAGAACTGTTCAAACCGTTAACGTTATGTTAACAAAATTCGTTTTTGTGTTATTGCGTTTTGTTTCCGAACATAAAATAAGTAAACTAATGTACATGGAGCTCATATAGAGTTTGACCGTACCGTTCTTTCGTTACACGTATTTAGTACGTATTAGGTACACAATAAACTTTTGCAGTATATATTTAGTATGCAATGAAACACACATCGCCACATCGATGAACTGATGAGCGATCGGCAGTAAAGGCAGTAACGGGAGTAAAGTTGGAAGGCCTCCTTCTAGGTGGACGACATCATAAGAGTCGCGGGCAACCGGTGGATGCAAATTAGACATTAAGACATTTAATCCGACACTTCATCTGCACACATATTATATTTGGTTACAATGTTTATAATTACAAAATAACAAATAAATTCAATTACCTAAGAGTAATTACAAGAGGAAAAAACATAATAAGTTAAAGTAAAACAAAGAATAAAAATAAAAGGAATTTATAAATAAGGATGTAGTGACGGAAGGGCAAATGGCCAAGTGTCCTTCGTTGTGGCGTTCTAAGACCTGTGGGCCTTGCGACTGGTGATGGTGATTCAATGTACAATGATGACTCCGTGGCGCATTTGCCAAGTTATTGGCTTCGGCGTCGGGGGTCGTGGGTTCGATTCCCACACGGGACAAATATTTTTGCGACCCACAGATAGTTGTTTCGCATCTGGGTGTTTGTCCTCGTGTAATTTATGTTTGTAAAACGTCCTTACAACACAGGATAATATTATCCTAAAGTGAGGGCAATGTTTTTAAAAAAGAACAAAAAAAAAAGAACAATGAAACTCACTCGTCCATGGCGTATCGCCGGCCGATGGTGCTGGACGAGCGCGGTTGGCGGGGTTTCGAGCGCATTGCCATGAAGTTTTCGTAGTCCTTCCTCACTGCCATGCGAACCTAAGAACACATTTGCAACCGAAATATGATCGATGTCTACTCAATTTTGTGTTTTCATGTCGCATGGCTACAAGCGAACAGCCAGTTTATCCGGTGTTAGATAACCGTCGCGGAAGAACATCCGTGGTTGTGCCGATGCGTTGCCAAACACGATAAAAGTAAGCCCGGTTATCTCACTCACCAGACGAAAAGCATAAGTACACATATTTCAGCTGTAGCTTCCACATCGCAGACGTTCCACCTGATGTTAAGTGGATAACACCGCCTTTGGAGGGACTTGCAGATGCGTTGAAAACCTTTAAAAAGCTGTCCCCCGGTTACCTCACTCGATGAAACGCATAAGCTCAAACACACTGCTCTCTCTGTGAGGCCGCCTACTTCCCCAAACACGGCCCATTCGAGTAACAGCCGAAGTTGTTGTGTGGCTACACCGCAATTACTTTAATAAATCTACACCCTAAATAAAAAAACCAAACAATTATAACGTGAAGATTTGTTTTTATTCTTAAAATATATGTCGCCCGCCGGTCTTTTGTGTTCATCGGTACTTTAAATTGTCACCCGCGTCGCCCACTGCGCGATAACCGGGCTTCACATACGCCGGTCGCGTGTTAAAATATTTATAATTGATTCCAATTATTAAGCTGTCAATTCGCGTTAATACGGCCCGTATACTGCCGATAAGACTAGTAAAAACAGTGCATATTTGAATATTTCGCATACATCCTTAACACGAACGTATTTCCGATAAAACTAGTTAATGAAACGTTCATAATGAAACTTTTATATATATATACGCAACGATTTTTGGCAACGCATTTGCATCTTACGGGTGTTGCAAATGTCCATGGGCGGGAGTTAATATTTAGCATCAGGTGAATCTTCAGCTCGCCAACCACCTTCACACGTAAAGAAAACGCCGTTATTGCTTTCAATTAGTTTAATTGATGTTATTCTATAGCGTCACGTTCAGTTATCAATGACGTACGTCTGTATGTATACTCCATTGATTTCACTTACATCGATCTGGTTTTCCCTAGAATTCAAAATCATCTTTAAAAACAAGCCACTGAGCTTGTCTTTTTAGCAACTACATACGAAGGCGAGGCCCTTCGAGAAGGCAGATACTACTCATCAGGCAGATACGAGTCATCGAAGGCAAGTGAAGTACTACAGGTTGAAACAATGGCATTAGGGCTTCACGGGGCCCTGCTTTCATTTTACAGGCTAACTGCGAAAAGGCAGTGCGCGATGGCTCCAGATCTTTCTGGGCGGTTTGTCGTTGTTCCAATATTTGTTTGATTCGACATCCATGTCCAATCAAGCGCCCGGGTCTGTTTCTGTTACGCCGGCATGGAAGGAGGCTAAGTTGGTAGCCGCAAAAGGCCTGGTGGTGGAGGGCTTGGCGGCGGAGGGTACGGTGGCGGTAGGCGTGCTAACGTAATTGACGGTGTAAGCTTGTTTAGCTACAGAAACTACTCTCACTCAGAGGCACTGGTAAGAACTGCAGTAGGCGCGGGTGACGCGAGTGACGCGGGTGACTTTGCTGCTAGCAATGCAGGGTGTTGTCCGAGTAGAAGACGGTTTATACGCGGTCGTAGGCTAATGCCTTTAATTGTTTTTGACAAATGGTTTACAAACTATTATTATTCTATATATTCTATCCTTTCTTGGCTTTAAGTTAAGCAGATGTGATATACATGTAAACAACTGAAGGCTGTGGATTTTGTTGCTCAATAAAATAAAAATAAAAACATTTTGTTTTCGCTGTGAATTAAGTAAACTTCGTTCCAAAAGCGCCGAGCTGCTTAGCTCATGTAGGTCATACCTCTCCGTTCATGAAGCAATAAATGAGAGCGATGAAGAAGCCTTGGAAGGAGCGGAGAAAGTGAGTTGAGTAGCTCCACAGGGCGAACTTCCAAACACTGCTGCTCACCGGCACCTCAATCATATTCAGGATGTTGGTGATGCCCAGCAGTGGTAGGAGCACTAGGGCAGCCTTGACAGCTTTCCTGTGTTTTGGTAATAATTTATTATATTATAAAGCACGCACGTGAATTTAGCACAATATATTTCAACTGTAGCTTTTTTTAGGCAAGGAAAGGCAACAAGGAATTGAATTATATTTGAACACAAACAAATATATTGGTGTAAATATGTTAATTGAATAAGCATTTAAATCTAAATATGCGTTAGAGATTTTAACAGCTTTTATTGGAAATAATAAATCTTATTTTAAGTACATGCTTACATTAAATAAATACATAAAACACTTAGATATGCGTTTCAAGCGTATATAATATGTACTTATTTAGAACTAAATATATTAAAAATTTATGTTTACCATATACCTAATTGACAAAGGTGTGTTCAAATTTTACAAATAGCTATAGCTTATTATTTAAAAAAAAAGTTATTGGGATGTCTACGGTTTCCTCAGAGTACGTAAATGAAAATTATTGCGGAACCACTTAACTTTGTCAAGCCCATTTAAAATATATTTCATGTTATTACAGCCTTGTACCCAGAAGAGAACCAATAAGCACATTGACATAAGTGAGATACGCTAGATACGCTTAAAAAATTTGTACTATTAGGATATCCTAACAAGACAATTTTTTTCAAACGTATCCATTTATTCGTAAATTTGGAAATGGATGAATTCTTTTAGACTGCAATGTGAATGGGATTAACTTAGACGATGAAAAGAATCACGCGGACACGTGCAAATTAAAGTCCTCCACATGCTCAAGCCAGTTATAGTAAGAAGGCGTAGCATACAGAGTTATCTCCATCTCGGAGTTGTTGCTCTGCTGCATCTTCAAAACCAGGACCCTCGTGATACTCAAAAGGAATAAAAAGTTGACCTGCAATGGAAGCGGTACACACAGTAATGATTATTTCAAGCCAAGTTTAAAAAAAAATATTGCGATTAAATTACCTATTTAAAATGAACAAAACGATATCATCTCTAAACATTCTACGTCTTAGAACTAAACTAGTAAATTTAAGAACTAAACTGGGATTAACGGATAATTGTGAAGATAATAAAGTATTTTATCATCTGTCTGAACTTATTTCCAATTAAAAAGTGATATTAAAGTGAAATTATGATATTAAAGACGAAGAAGAGTATTAACAACAGAACAATATTTAAGAAATTTAGAAATTGCTGCTCTTTGCCGTTTTGTTACCTATACAAGCTGAAACGATTGGATTCATTCGATGTCGGATGCGATATTGCTTCATTGTTGGATCGTATCCGTTCACTGTGACATAATAAACGGTATGTAACGCCTCCGAAACGCAGCTTTCGGCGAAGGCATTCGGTAGCTGCCGTGCATTATTGCGAGGCAATATGCCACCCGGAGCGTGCAACGTGCCAACTCACCACTATCGCGGCCACACGAGGTCCTTGGACTATCCAGTACACCGCCAAGAAGTTGTAGCCGTACCAGCACCTGTGGAACGTAAACACGCTGAGCCAGAGCGCCGCTACCGGCTGAATCACGCCCTCCCAAATAGATGCAGCGCTTACAGCGTAAGGCCGTTCGCACACTACGCGATATTTTTCCCGCCCGTATAGGTACAGGTGCGAAATTTAACAGGTACTGGCGCACGGTAATATTGGGAAGATAATAATTTAATATTAAGTAATCCTCATTTAATTTTAGGTAACACCCTGAAATATTAAAAAAAAACTCAATTCATGAATAAGAGCGGTCTCGATCGATTCGTTTCGAAGCCACAATGCCACACACACATATGCAAAGACAGTTACGTCAAAATATTTTATATGAACAAATTGTCAATAGATGGCATTATCGTACATAATTTTTTCTACTTTCAGATTTTAAACGATTTTTTTTATGAAAACATCAACTTTATTCTATTTCTTTGCTTTTCGTCAATAGCGGCAAAGTTTAAAAGTCGTAAATTATAATTAGAATTAATAAAATATAATCTTTAAAACTATATTTTAATTATTTTTAATATTGCCGAAACTCCCGACTTCTTCATCGCTTAACAAAATTGATAAAAAGGCAAATTTTAAATATGTTTAATATTTCATTCCAAAAGCGCGAAGTATAACTTCAAAAATATCTTGTTCTATTAACAATTTTCTAACCTATCATAAAGCGTTGAAGAAATTTCTAGATGCCCCGTGGCACATTATTACGCTGCGTATAATCGCATGTAGTGCACGAGCGGCCTAAGCCTCACAAGCATTTTCTTAGATGCGATCCGTAGGAATGTTTGAGGGCTATTCACACCGTACGGGGCGTATCAGGAAGAATCGAATACAGCGCTTGTAGCGACTTACGTATCACGATGTTCAAGTAGTGCCGTCTGTAAAAAGCTACCTACGTTAAAACTTGTACAGAAAGTGCGAAAAGATTGTCGCCGCTGTGGGAATCGAACCCACGTCTTCGGCATTCGCGGCCTGACGTTTTAGCCACTAAGCTAAACGGCTGATTGCCACACCGACGAAAATCTTAACGTCTTTTATCTACATTGTTTTTTAGCATTTGAAGCAATGCTTGGCGCATATATTGTTATATCCTTTCCAGCATACAAATAATTTCGAATATCGTTTTACAACGATAACTCGAACGAGAGATGTCGCCATTGCTTTTTGGAAATTTAAATTTTTTTGTAGTGCTAACCTCTGCACTTAAGATTAAACATTAAAACTTGTAGAAAAATTCTTCGGCATTCGCGGCCTCACGTTTTAGCCACTAAGCTAAACGGCTGATTGCCACACCGACGAAAATCTTAACGTCTTTTATCTACATTGTTTTATAGAATTCGAAGCAATGTTTAATCTTAAGTGCAGAGATTAGAACTATGAAAAACTTTAAATTTCTAAGCTACCTACGTGTTGGCGCATAGTTGTTTGACAGCATCAGCTTTATTGTGTTCCCAAATACGTGCTGGACTCTGGTGGACTCTAGTTGTTTCGCTTACCAGACGAAATGAAAAACTGTTAACACTTCTTACTTTAACTCGAGAACCACGATCAATTCGGCAATGCCTTTGGCTTGGGCATACTCACGTATTGATCGGCTCATCGCGGTAGTGGAGTGCGGTCATCGTCGCCCAAACGGCGGTGGTCACCAACGGAAAGCCCCAGCCGACTATGTAGTAGTACTGGTAGGGTATGCGCTCCCTGAGAGAGTTAGCGGACACAACGCTGTGCAAGTAGAGGCCTTCGATGAACATCCACATAAACATCACCGAAATGGTGTACTCCAGCAGTATGTATAACGTGATACACACGTACGGCTGCAACCAACCATTAGTATTGCACAATGTTATAAAAATAGATTCACCCGACTACCCCTCGCAGGTGTTGAGCGGAGTCTATCTTCATTTGTTAATTGTGAGGGCCTACGCTGGATTCAAATCAGTTTGTAAACCTGACGCCTTTGACATCGTGAAGGTTTAAAAATTATTAGTATTTTATTCGGCACCATTGTAAATATTCTTTCAAAGTCATTCCCACAAGCACGTTCTAGCGATCGTGCTCAAAGTCTAACGGAACTTGACATTGCGATATTGTTTTAACAGGTACTGCGATTTAAATACCTACTTATTGTTGTTTTAACTGAAAAAATAAAAGACTATAAAAAAGTATAATTTTTTATGATTATTTGTTTTATATTTGTTATTTTCATTCCAATCTAGTAGAGAGTTATTTCAAGAAAATTTTATAACTTGCAGTATGATGTTGCCCATGACTTGTAATCTCAATAGTAGCAAACTGAAAAGTTGAGCTGTTTTTGGGGGTTTCAATTCAACTTAAATTTCAGAATGAAATCGCAGATATATCGGGAAGCCAATCTGTCGAAATTACGCCCAGCATACCATCAGTACATGAGAACGCCACAGTTTCCGACATTTCGCAATAGCAGCATGATCTTTATTTTTATCTTTAAACGATCGCACCGCTACTAGCGAATTTTGAACTAGGAATCCGCATAGCAACTTCAGTGAACTTGCGCACGGGGGATCCCCTCTGGTTGTAACGACCGCCTCGAGGTGCGTGGCGAAGAGACCTGAAGCGCGAGTGCACCGCGAGGGTTCGGCGCAATCGTGTTCTAAATTGTTCGCAGCCATTTCAAATGTACGTTAGGAAACTCAAAATCATACGTTCGCATTCAATCGGTAAAAATCTATTGTGCTGAGCAGCGACGGCGTCACGTGAAAATCATGTCATCAGAATATTAAGTTAAGCAACCGCGTTGCCTTTGCTCTGCCTTCGAGTGTCTTTCAAAAAAAATATGCGAGGCCTTCGGCGAAGCAGTTGTCAAGCTATTGGCTTCGGCGTCGGGGGTCGTGTGTCGGGTAGTTGGATTGTAGCGGAAATCTTGAATTCAATTTGAATTCACAGTGCGTCTGAACATAATAATATCCGTTTGTTTTGAACCGCGGCCTGTTGACGATGAATAGCATCGCCGCAGTCTCAGCTGTTGCACGAATGGACAGGTCTATCCGGGGAAGCACCATCTCAGAAGACCAGCGTGAAGTCGTAGTATTACACTTATGCGTTTATTAAAGGCCTCACGGATGTTGCAAACCCATGGGCGGGAGTCGTCACTTAACATCAGGGGAACCGCCAGCTCGCTGCCACCTTCTCACAGAAGAAAAAACACCCAGAGGCGGAGCGGTCGACCGCCAAGCAACGCAGTTTCGACTCACCATATCATGGATCCCCCTGACGACGTCGGTGTTGTCCCTGCGGTTGTAGGCCTGGTCGATGTACAGCACGAGGCGAATCAACAAGTGCACGAGCATAGAGATGATGAGGTCTCTGTGGATCCTAGTGCGGTTATTGCGCAGCGACCTGGTTTCCAAACCAGTTCGCAGTCAGGTGGCGGTACGTTTCTCTGTCAGGCTTTGAGACGAGGACGTTGCCTCGTATCGAAATGTATGTCGTGTGTATGACGACCTTTAATACCCAGTCACTGGTCGGTAAGCATGATCGGTTACTGGAGATTTAATTTTGACGTGACTATTATCGAGATAATGTCAAATACCTATCTACTTCTAGTATTCAAATCTACAAACTATTAGAACATTAAAAACGTTATTCACAACAATTCATCTACGCTGATATACATGTAATAAAAACGCCAGCCATTTCGTCTGTCTCTACTGATTCAGTAAATTAATTTCGAAAACATCGAATCATTAGTTTTTAAGCTTTAAAGTAAATATGGCGTAAGTTTTAATGTGTGGTAAAATAAATTTATGTTTATACATAAATCATCACGCAAATAGTTTAATGGGCTTCATGTTAAAACAATATCTCAAAATCTTTTAAGTGACCTCTATGTTACGAATAACATAACAATCAGGTATGCATGAGTTTTGAAATCAACAAATAGGAAATTTCCATTTCATTACAAAGAAAATCTGCCAATAACGCTTCGACTGATCTAAGGGGCGGTCCACACTTGCGTCACTCCAACGGAGCGGTGCATTTATTCATCGACCTAAGAAAGTTACATTTCATCTATCGACAGTCATATTTTTTTTTAAATCTACCACCGTTTCGTAATGAGGTTCCTCCAGCGGAGAAGAAACAGGCGAAAGAAACTCCGTAGGTATCCTCTTTTATGTCATTTTTTTCTCAAAAAGTTAAAATATTATACAATTGTTTTTTTTTTCTTTTTCTCTTCTAAAAGTTAATAGTGATGGGTTCAGGTTACCTGATAATATCTCAAATCAATTCACATTGTACACCAGAAGAGTGTATACAAGAGCACTGCTTTCTATGTATGCTCTTATTTATGGTGGACAATAAAAGTGTATTCTTTCATTCATTCATTTGCGCACTTCGATGTCGCCTGCAACTAATGCACTATACTTACGGGTCTCAATACAATTGCTTGCTTGACAAATGTCATCATTATCATTGACCGTCTCACACAGAGATTAGTATTTAAGAGTATCAAACGTATGGATCCAAACTAAGATGATCTGGCCAATTAACACATCAAAGGCTGAATCTAAAACACTATCTGAATAATAAGAACAAATATTTTGCTGGATGGAACCAACAGGAAATAACGCGTCCAATATAATTTAATGCTCATCAAGGGTCGATTCAATCAAGCTATCGTATGCCTACCCAGAGCTTTGTTTGCGTTTTTTTTTAAACTGTAAGTAACATTTTATTCGATTGTTATTGCATTGAAACAGATTTATATGTTTATACTGGATGGTAAATGACCCGGCGTTTTGTAAAAATAAATCCTACGGCTACGTGAGTGTATGACCGTTGGATGGATAGCGGCTGCTTGGATGCTGACAGTAAGTGCTGAATGACTAGTTTCCGGGGAATAAGTCAGGCAGCGTTTATTTGATAGCCACTCTCAGTTGCACTTATAAACATTCGCTTCTTTCACATCTAAACATGTTATGGTCACATAACATGTTTAGATGTGAAATAATAACTACGTATGTACGTAACAGCAATACACATAAATTGGTATTATTTCTACCACCCTTCCTTACTCCATAACCGATACTACCTTATTCTTAATAACGTATTACTTATTCTTTAATTCAAAACTTCATTTTGCAGGTTTGACAGGAATCACTATGATAATCCAAATGTGCATATGAAATATACACGGTGAAGCCGTTCATAAGCTTAGGCTTAGCCGTTAGGGGTCGTGGGTTCGATTACCACACGGAACAAGTACTCGCGTGACCCACAGACGATTGATTGTTCCGGAGCTGGGCGTTTGATTCCCAAGGTGGGTTGACGGTCGGTCGTAAAAACATAACCAAAACAGCCTTCAACACGATCTACATGTTGCGCTGACACCATCTCAGTTTGATGGGCAGGAGGATGATGACGATGATTTTATAAAACGTGTACAAAGTCAAAGTCGAGAAAGATGCTTCTGATTCCACATTCGCAATACGTACGTGTAGCGGATGAATATGAACAGGGAAATGAGGAGCGTTATAATTGAGAGGATGATTCCGACGCATTCCATGTAGCGGGTACCGAAGGCGACCCCGAATTTATTCTGTGTAAAGTTAAAACACAGTCTATGAACGTACGTACTTCCTTACACTGCGGTTATATGTAAAGAATCAACCTATGCGTGTCTCACTGCTGTGCAAAGTCCTCCTCTGTACATAGGGTATAAGGGCATAGTCCACGGCGCGACCCCACTGCCGATTGGCAGACTTCACATATCTTCGAAATACCTATTCTTTTTTTGTTTTTATTTCGATAATATGCAGGTGTCCTCACGATATCTCGCAGGGTCACTATTGAGCACGTGACAAGTCAGCATTGGCATTATATTTCCGGTACTTGCACCGGGATTTATAGTCAGATTGCTAGAGAATGATGAATTAAAAGCGATCGCCCGGACATTGAACTATAGAATATGAACAATACTTATAAATGGTTATGTCGCATTAACGCTAGGGCGTCGTCAAACGGAGTGTAATGACGATGACGATGAAATTTCTTAATTCAATATAGGCTTGATTTAAGTCCTTATTGAACGTCAAAAACCTACCACCGCTTCACCAAACTAGACCTGGCGAGAGAAGAGCCGGCAAGAGACTCTGCGGTCATGTTATCTTCTTTTTCAAATAGCGCATAAGAGATTGGTCAATTATAAAATCAGCAAACAAATTGATCTACTTGTCCTCAATGTATTTTTCGAGTTTATGATATGCCATTACACTTAGTGTGGCTTTAACGTTGAAATATAAATTTGGAGGGAGGGCGAAGCAGTGAGCAGAAGTTTCTTTGGTAGATTAAACTTCAAGGAGGGTACCTGGGCGTCACCGCCCTCCCCGTAGACCATTTTTAGCAGCTTCTGTGCCTCGCTCGGGAAGCACGGGGTGTAGTTGGTCCAGCTGGTCTCCCCGGGGCGCCTACCCAGCCACTGGCCATTTTCCCCGCACGTTCGGAACGCCGAATCTGGCAACAGGATGGCATAATACTGAAGAGGCAGGCGATGAGAGTGTCCTAATCACTGATTAATATTGAGAATAATTCAGTACCCGGAAGATGCAGGCGCGCACGGTTGGAAATGTACTGTTAAAATTTGTAGAAAAACAGGACGAAACAATTTTTTGCCGCCGCGGGATTAGAACCAACGTCATTCGATTTTGCACCCTGATACTGATAAAATGTGAAAATAGTCCTATGAGTTTATTAGATAAATTTATTAAAAAGATATTATATAAATTGAAGAATAATTATATACGGCACTTCCCCAGTGAGTCTTTTTCGAACTTGAGTCCCGGGTGCTCTTTAGTTCTTATTATGCACTTCTAGTTCTGCTTCGTGCCCCATTTAAAAAAAAATCAAAGAAAAGCTTATAAATTTTCACGAAAAATTAAAACAATAATCACACATTTAAATTTCGTGTTGGAAGAAAAAAAAACATAAGCGTAACGAAAACGGTAAGTAAACTTTAATATCTCTCATAAAATTACTAACCGGACCCATCGGAAACGGTGTGGGGTATAATACATCATACGATGTTTTCGAGGCCACGTGCACGTCATTCGTCTGTTAATACAAACGCTTGAACATTGTTAATCTCGTACCGTCGGAATACTTACGCGACGTGTCGCTGAGGTGTTCGGGCGGGCAGTTCAGATACACAGTCTCTCCAGCCGGCGTGGGCGGCCAACACAAGTAGTTGTCGTGGACCGCGTTGCAGTAGAGCGTCCCTGTGGCATGGAGTAGTTTGTTGAGTAGAGACAATTTATCTATTCACCTTACGCGCTTCGGTCGAAAGAAACATTCGCTGGCTAAGCGGAGCGAGAAGAGATAAATAACGCGTTGCAGTAGAGCGTCCCTGTGGCATAGAGTAGTTTGTTGAGTAGAGACAATTTATCTATTCACCTTACGCGCTTCGGTCGAAAGAAACATTCGCTGGCTAAGCGGAGCGAGAAGAGATAAATAACGCGTTGCAGTAGAGCGTCCCTGTGGCATAGAGTAGTTTGTTGAGTAGAGACAATTTATCTATTCACCTTACGCGCTTCGGTCGAAAGAAACATTCGCTGGCTAAGCGGAGCGAGAAGAGATAAATAAATAAATATTAAGGACATAGTTCTCACTGATATATATAAAATCGCTTAGCTTTAAAAAAAATCGACAAGTTTACCGATCTGTCCTATAAGCGATGTCACATCTAAAAGGTTGTGGTGCGTTACTCACTTATTTAATAATAATAAGTACAGGAGGTTTGTTTTTTTTTTGGTAAATCGTGTGTTTTCTAAATTCCATTTAGATACAAATTACTGAGTAATGAAATATGTATAATATTTTTCGATTTTACCGACGTAATAATAAGAAAATATGAACTAGTGTTTTTCACAAAAGAAAGAACTTTAAAGAAAAGGGAAAAACAGTACAAAATCATCTGAGCCGCCCGATTACCGACCAAGCTATTATAACATTATATTTTGCGGCGAAATTTACTGTTATATTCGAATGATATTTTTCATTCCTTGAAAATAGGGATAAAAGGACATTTTCTAAAAATGAAACCTAGCTAGATCGATTTTTCGCCCCCGAATCTACGCACATAATACACGAGAATTGCTCGTTTAAAGGATAAGTGGATAAGGTCGCATGCGAGCTGACGTGATGTTAAGTGATAACCGCCGCCCATTGATATTCGCAACACCCGTAGGTCTACAAATGCGTTGCCACCTTTAAATAAAGTGGGCCCCTGGCTACTTTACGCCGGTCTTGATACTTACCCGGACGGATCTGCCCTTTCGTGCAACAGCCAACACTGTTGCGTAGCCCTACGACAGTCGTGAAAGAACGGATTGCAATAGACTACTATACATCTATATCCGTTGTCCCTTTCCCCTTACAATATGTTAAAGTAATACTGAACTATTTTTCGGCATACTATTTGTAGGGCGAACTAAACTCGTTCGTTAGATGTTTTCCGCATCCCATTAAAAAACTAATATACTACTTGCTGATTAAACCACAGTAAGAATATCTAATAAAAGTTTGGGGAAATACAGCAATGATCCGTGATAGCTCAGTGTTCGGGCGCTCGCCTTTAATTCAATATACTCGAGGAACCTGAGTTCGATCCCCATCGATGCCGGCGCCAATGAAGTTTTTAACATTAAGTGTTGACTTATGACGTGCTCCGCGGTGAAGGAAAACATCGTGAGGAAACCTGCATATTTCGAAGATATGTGATGTCCGCCAATCCGCAGTGGGGCTGCGTGGTGTACTATGCCCTGATACCCTATGTATAGAGGAGGCCTTTGCCCAGCAGTGGGACATGTATCGGCTGTTACTTTACTTTACGTTACTTTACAGCAATGGCAAACTTAAATTTACTTCGGAGAACTCAAAATAAGATAGTAGTGATTCTTTTTAACTATCATTATCTAACACCAACAAATAAAATCTACAAAAATACAATGTGAATAAATTATATACAAACAGTACTTTTTGTCAAATGAATACTTTTAAAATCAATGCACTCACTAAAACATACGTCTATATTTAACCCGCAATACGAGTAGATACAAATTCGAATTACGGACATGGAAAATCTGGGTAGAAAATAAACATTCGATGTCAGGCAGCGCCGCAACCGTACAAAAATTGCATGTGGAAATTGAAGGATGTAAAACCAATTTATTGTTCAAAAAACGCATATAAAACAAATTGCTAACTACCTACTTAGATTTATAAACTCTAGTACCCGTTTGAGAGGACCTATATATTTATAACGTTTCAAGTCAACTATGTAATGTTCTTTTGTGATAAATAAATGTCTCTAACCTAAAAAAACTCAGCAAACCTTTTCCATGATGACTGGCACATTTGCCAATGTATCGGCTTCGGCTTCGGGTGTCGTGGTTACAATTCCCGCAGAAGACAACTATTGAACCATAGATAGTAGTATCGGATCTGGGTGTTTGTCCCCTTGAAATTTATGTATGTGAAACGTATTGTGAAACAAAGCAGGATAATGTTACACTACAGCAAGGGGGCAATGTTTTGAAGGGAAGACTACAATAGACCTTTCGACGTCGCAGTCGTGGTTGGGACTTACGCATCGTACTCTTCCAACATGCATAATTACTTTTCACTTTTGTATTGGTCTGGCTGAAGGCTTAACAAGTGAATTATTGTTTGTAAAAGTAACTAGGGTTCTTAGACACTTTATATTTAAGTACCCGGAGGACCGGGCTTAGCTCGGTTTGTTTTATTTTTTTTTGGTAAATCGTGTATTTTGGAAATTACATTTAGATACAAATTACTGAGTAATGAAATATGCATAATATTTTTCGATCTTACCTACGTAATAATAAGAAAATATGAACTGATGTTTTTCACAAAAGAAAGAACTTTAAAAAAAAGGGAAAAAAATAACAAAATAACAAATCGACAAAAAATTAAAAATAAAGAAAGCAATGATCTGGAATCGGAAAAAAAAGTAAAAGAATAAATGTGTAAATGATCGTGACGCGAACCACGGCCGTCTGTTTTGGGGCCGCCCGATTACCGACCAAGCTATTATGACATTTTCTCTTGCGGCGAAATTTACCGTCATATTCGAATTATATTTTTCATTCCCTGAAAACAGGGATAAAAGGACATTTTCTAAAAATGAAACCTAGCTAGATCGATTTATCGCCCCCGAATCTATGCACATACTTAATTTCATGAAAATCGCTGGAGCAGTTTCCGAGATTCCGATTATATATATATATACAAGAATTGCTCGCTTAAAGGATAAGATATATTAAAATTTCGGCTAAAGTAAACTAAAATATTTAGAAATATTTTTATTCTTTAATTCAAAATAAGCGTTTGGCACAGTTTAAACAATATTAAAAATATCTGGCAGTAATAGTTCACGTTGGAAGAAGTAAAAAAGAAACCTTAAAATTATTTCAAAAATTGATATGTTACTCCTAGTAAGTATAATACGCACTGTTGATTGCAACGCCTACCGCCGGCCAGATAGCCTGTATGACGTCCGGGACAGTGAGAGAAAGCATATTTAAAAACTCGCCTACCTGAAATTTTTGTTCTCCTGACGTTCTCGTACCATAGGGGTTTGATTTTATTGATTCGGTAGTATTTTCCTTTTATAGTGAATTATTCCTTATATAATATGATAATGACCAGTCTTATAGAAGGAGTTAACAATTTTTAGAAAATACAGAACTCCAGAAGTTTGTGGACTGCTGTATTTTCCAGTGTGGGAATTTGAATGATTACAAAAAAAAATTGTACGATGAATAAAGATGAAAAAATAAACTGTCGTGTACCAACCCACAATTATATGTGTTTTAAGCCAGCATTTGATACATAGAGTACATAATAACGGTAATACATAGAGTATTACCGGTAGCGTGTTCAGCGTAATTTAGAGAAGTATTTTTGTAATTCTTAAGTCCAACTGAAGGCCCAAGTGTACGTCAATTCTAAGGTCGATGTTTTGAATTTGCTTATCTAATATAACACTATGCCACATAATTTCATCACGTCAATTACTTTGTGCGGGGGTAATTTTTAAAATAAAAGGGGATACAAGAGGGAAAATGATGTATTCAGAAAGCCATTTTCTCCTTAGGCTTGTAGGTGAGGAAGAAATCTCTGTACTGAGGCACGGCGACGGGCGTCTGTCCGGGGAGGCCACAGTTGGTGAGCGTCTCCTGCGTGGCCTCCAAATTCAAGCCCTTGAGCTCGCATAGGTCCGTCAAGAACTCCAGCCACTCGTCCCAGTTCAACTCCGATTTGCTGAAAAAATCCACAGGAGCGAGCAATGTTCATTATTTACCTGTTCATTGCGTACGTTTCTCATGCAACCTCGTTACCGGTGTCATGGTGTCCTGGTAGTTTTAGCGCCGTTATGCAATAAGTTTTCTGCTTTTTGTGCCAATTTTCCCATAAAATCATCTGTCATTCAGCGAAACTTAGCATTATTCAGGTACCCGTGATCAAAGCGACCGATAATATGTTATATGTAGTGGTTCAAATAAAAGTCATCATTTGTCGAGCATTAAGATGGCGCAATGAACACTGGATGAAGAATATTGATTCAATAGCCACACGCCTTCTTGGGGTTATTAAAAAGCTTTGCCATTATTACTATGCTCTAGGGGTTAAAATACCCCTTAAATATTGCTCTTATTCTTAGAACATAGCATTTGCCTAATTTATTGCAGTGGAAAATTTCTGGACTAATCAACCGATTCAACATTGTTATTTCGTTAATTCAACGCTACTCTGGACCGAATAGCGAAAACTATATTTTCTTAAGCAAAACACTATTGGGCAGAAATCAAAATATTCGCAGATCAAGTCGGAACAATTTATGAAATTTTTATTAAAGCAATCAATTTATTCTTCCGTCGCCAATCGATGTACACAAGGTACAATAAAGTTCATCGATTAGCAACAATGCGTGCTACACGGAGCGTGTAATCCGAAATATTGCTGTAGACATTCTGTTAGTGAAATTGATCTCGTTCCTATAGCTCCCGTCAATCCTCACCCACCCCTTGCTGGCTTAAATTATCGTATGAACCTGTTGTATACATTGTAACAGAGTACAGTAGCGTTGAATTCTTTTGATTCCTTGTTCATTATTTGGTTTGATATTTCCGATATAATTGCAGAGCCATTTAGGATGTCTAAAATAGTTTGTTTCCTACGTACATTTCAATGCCGCGACTACTACTACGGGGAGTATTGGATTTTTAAAAATGATACCCTGTAACCGACAACGTATTGAAACATTTATGAGATTTTTTACGGAATTTTTTTGAAGTGGAAACGCTCTAACGACACAGAATAAATACTAGTGTGGGGTATTTTTTAAAATTAATGAACAAAGAAAATTGCTCATGAATATGTACTCGGATAAATGCGCATTTCTTTAATCAATATTACTATTAAGGATGTTGATGCTTGGCAGCTCGTAATTCCTTTTATGTTTGTTTTACGTGAGAAGCTGGCAAGGGAGCTGACGGTTCCCCTGATGATCAGTGATAGCCGCCGCCCATGGACATTAGCAACACCCGTAGAGTTGTAGATGCATTGCCACCAAAGTGAGCGCCGGTCACCCCACTCACCAGACGAAGTGAAGAAGTATAAGACTTCCATTTCACGTAACGGTTTTCTTTGTTAATCCATAATAATATAAAGCGAGTTTTATCAAATCAAACATAGCGGACGTAAAGAGTTCTGTTTGTTAACTTATTTCCGTTTATTCCGTCGGCCATTCGTACATTAATTGTTATGTTATGCTTGTTTTCTGGTTGATGCTTTTATTGCTGGTGAACTGAGCTACGTTAAATATTTGTTACATGCAATGAAACGTTAATTAATTTTAAAAGGCTTTTAGGATATAATTGGTATAAATTGACATGCGGTCAGCTTGTCGATGCGTCGCTGTTTTCGTGCAAGGGTTGTTTGAAAATAAATGTACTTTATATACTTTACTGCTGTTAGTTGTTAATCAGAATGTACAATAGGTACTTTATTCATATGTAAACATTTGGATTGATAAAATATTTGTATTACATTCCAGTATACATTTATACTTCGATTCGTTCTTCGTTGCTTCGGTTCTAGGCGAAGTCTCAATCTTAGTTATTAGCCTGTTCTCCCGGTTAACGCAAAATTTTAGGCAAATGCAACTTAAATATATTTTCCGTAAGACAAATGGGGAAACATTTTACGTTAAATATTTATAGGTACTAAACATTTAACAATTACAATATTATATCACATAGCCATTTTATTACCAAAGAAAAACAAAACCGACTAGAAATATCTCGCTCTGTATTCATTTTATAATTGATTTTCCGGAGTTTCGTATCTACCAATGAAAATAATATGGGCCACATGGGAAGCACCAGCTTACAAATAAATAAGGAATCATCGAAATCGGTTCTCCCAGGCAAAAGTTCTGAGTTTCTGAGGTAGCAAACATAAAAAAAATAATAAAAATAATAAAAAATAGTCAAATTGAGAACCTCCTCCTTTTGAAGTCGGTTAAAAACGATAGAATTACATCATTATCTGTTGGGAAATATGTTCAGCAGTGGTCTTAAATAGGCTCACCAACTTAAAACAACGGCTTCATTATTTATGGGGTTTTATGGCAACCTAAAGAGAAAGTAAGTTACGGTATTTGTACCTTACCTTACCTTAAAACCATACCTTGCCCTAAAAGGTTATTTTTATTTACTGTCAATTCTGGCAATTATACCAATGGTCACTAACTTTGCCACCTGCGGAGTGCGTATGGTAATCCTTTCATAATACAGGCTATGTATACTTTTTCCTGTTTTGACTATTTTTAGGGAGTACCAGTTGGCAGCACTAGTTTAAAGTGGGCAACATTATGGCAGCCATATTTTAATTCCGAAATTCATCAGTTTACTAATATGAAAGCTCAGTGCTCCAGAACTTTCGAGGTGCGGAAATTTAAGATATAATGCTATTTTTGTTGTAAGGAGTGGATTGATTGTCTTAAAAATGCCGCAGTGTTTGTATAAAGTTAAATTTACCAGACTATGCCGGCCAAAACGGGATGGCAAGTTTGCGATGCTTGGTGTTTACACAGATAAAAACATAGTAAGTGCATTAAAACATTTGGTTTTAATGTACGTACTTTAAATTATAAAGAAATGTGCACTGTCACTCAACAGACTTTGCAGTTGTACGAATGGGCAGGTCCGTCCGGGTAAGTACCCTGACCTCACAGAAGACCGGCGTGAACTGGAAGTGTTATTCTTTTGCGTTGCGCCTGGTGAGTGAAATAGTGGCTCACTTTATTAAAAGATGGCAATGCAACCCCAACCCCACCGGTATTGCGAATGTCCATGAGCGGGGGTTATCACTTAACATCGGGTGAACCGAATGAAATCGGGAATGGCTTCCTTAGCAAAAATACAGAGCGCCTTACAATAGAGTCGTCCCCAGTGACGGATTTAACTCGGCAAAGACTTCCAGTAACCGTCGGGTTTAATTGATTTTAGAAATACCAAAACTTTTATGGATCAATAAGAACTCGTAGAAATTCAATGTTCGGTAAAACTTTTCACCCAGCGATTGGGCAAGGTAATCAAAATGTGCAACGTGATCGAAAAATTTACAACCGACGGGAAAACGTGTTTTTTTTCTTCCTTTATGACGTTTGATCTAAAATTATGCTTGCTTTTGTAGTGTTCATGTTATATAATGTGATTATACAATATGTCACCTTTACTTGTTCTTTATTTCTTCTCTTGATGACTTTGCTAGTTTTGCATTTTATGCACGCAAAGATTTCGAAGCGATCAACTTAGTTCGTATCATTTAAAAAAATTAAAAATGAAAACCACGAGAAATGCCAGATGCTCAAACGGAAACAATTGGCCGTCATTTTTGTAGCTCTGACGCTCACCGAACGAGGCGTTCTCATCAACAAGCGTGGCATTATTACATTCACGGGCGGAATCAAATACGTGTTGGCGCTAGCCGTACGGTAGAGGCCAAGGCAGATGCCTATTTGTTCGATCTCACTGGTTGAAAAGTGTCGTTGAAGTAGATAATAATGGTATGATAAGCCTATATTATAGGCATGAGATGACATTCTGTACCCCGCCTCAAAGGTACGGGTATCGCCGTGCTACCGGGTGCTAAAACCCAGTATCAAAATACCTATCCTACTCGGTCGAATCGAACGACCTTTGGAACATTTAGATGTTTTTTTTAGCAATCATATTTTTTTTGAAATTGAGATTTATTCAGTCTAAAATAAGCTCTATCTTTACTAGCATAAAGAAACTTATTACCAAAAACAAAAGTAATTCAAAATAAATATTACTGTTTAACATTATTACGCAATTATCTACGTAATTCTCATAGAACTAAAGAATAAATTTATCTTTCAGGAATTATTTGGTATAAAATGCCACAGGCGGTCGAGCGCGAATGTTATGAAATACCGCTACCGTCTGACGCGGGGGCGCTGGGTCCGCGTAGTCGCGAGCGATATTTACAATACCTATCGGGTCCGGAAGGGCCTCTGCCGTACATACCCGGTCTGCGTACTGGTATGTTCATACTGGGTATTTATACCTGTACCAGTATATACGCCTCATCGCTACTACATTACTATTACTACCCATTGAAGCGAAGATCTTTGAAGCTTGAAGATTTGCATCTTTACGAAGTTCTTCGATAATTGTGGCAGAGTTTATGGGAGGCGTTTATACAGCACTGCTACATTTACTGTGCAAGGCCAGGCATTAGTCTTCGCTAGAATGGGCTACTCTCCCCGGAGTAGTACCACGACCTCGCAGAAGACCCGCATGAAATGAAAATTCTGCGTTTCACCTGGCGAATGAGGTAATCAATTTATTGAAAGTTGGCAACACATCTGCAACCCTACGGGTGTTGCTAAGGTCAATGAGGGGTGGTTATCACTTAGATTCTCGCGTTAAAAAAATTGCCGGATGTGATGATGATGGGTCATATTAGTTAATCGCTACGTTTACTGTCGAGACTTTGTTAATTTACGCACCTGAATTTATTGAACAGTATTCCAGTATCGGTCATTGTGATCCTTCTATCGTCGAGGAGTTTCGTTTGTCTCAGCCAATAGTCTGATCTGTACAAAGTGATTGTTGTGCCGTCCCTTTTGTTGTCGAACAATCTTGAAAATTCATAGAACTGCCCTTCTAAGGTCGCCGCTTCCTCGTCACCCATGTGATCCTAGTCTCAATCTTACAAAGGAAATCGATAAGTTAGCCTCCCGAAAAAGTCCTTTACACAAGCTCTCGATCTTAATCGGCCTTTAGATGATATGTTCTCCTTGTAGATAATTGAAACGATGACATGAAGTCCTGAAGTGCTAAATGCTATAACGTGTATATGGACGTACGGATGCCGTTTTAAAATAATATATTTATGTATATCCTATCTGTTTGCGTAATCTGGAAGAAATAGACGCTTATAACCCTAGTTTATTATGAAACAATTATGGTGCAATTCAAGTATGTGGTCACGTGCTTTGCTTTTACCGATATAGCTATAATAATATATGATATTAGTCTCATAACTGTAAACGATATTAGCTTCTATACTTGTTTGACGTCATTAAAATGCGAAAGTAATAAATTAAACAAAAAATAATAACCCGAATTAAAAAACTAAAATTCAAACATACTTCTATTAACTTTTCCATTGTTTACAGATTTGTATTTTATTAATAAATAAATAAATGTTTTAGGACACATTTTTCTCTAGTCTCAAACTAAGCAACGCTTGTACTATGGGTACTAGAAAACTGATAGACATACTTAAACATAATTTTCTTTTTTAAATAAATACACATTATACATATATATACCCAGACACTAGAAAAACACTACGCTCATCATACAATATTTTTCCACTAGTGGGGGATCAAACCCACACTCTCTGGCGCAGAAGGCAGGTACGCTAACGACTACGCCATTCGGGTCGTCGTTTTATTGATGTGAAAATGTAATGGTTTACGCCTCCCATGGACATCCAAAACGAGACGGTTATAGTAGTGATGCCAACCTTGAAGAAGGCCGAAAATATAAATAATTCTTTACGCTGGTCTTCTCTGCAGCGTTATTCTAAAGAAGTTGCTGCATTCATTCTAATGCAGAAAAGAGAGATCCATTTATTCAGCTTGGCCCACATCAATAGTTCAGACGAAGAAAACTTCGAATACCGTCTTTTAAAATTCAACTGTTATTGTTTTTTTTTTTATATTTGTTCCTTTTTACTTAATAAGTAATTTTTTTCTGATATGATTGAAAGTTTTTTCATTATCACACACCGTCACTAGGCAACGACGCGTGCGTGTTTGACTCATTGGACAGACGATAACAAATTACTATATTGTGAAAAAGTGCGGAAATTTTTATTATCTGTGCAGAAAGTAACGTAGACATCTACCCTTTTTTATATTGTCTATGTGATTTCTTTTATTATTTCCAGTTTGCGCTTTGAATGTTTTGTTAATATTTTATATTATGGCATATGATTTAGCAAACGCATCGCAATGTAGTAATTATAAATATTTTTGACACTTCTTCTTTTCAGTATGTTTCAGGTAAGAAAAGATATCTAGTCTGACGTACTAACTTAACTAATTAAAAGCAAACCTTATTGTTCAATCCAATAAACCTAAAAATCAACGGCCAAGTGCGGGTCGGACTTCGAAGACGCCAAAAGGTTCCGCAAAGATATTATGTACAAATACGAGGTAGATATGTAGCGCACGGAAACCGGGGCTCTCAAATTACGCCAATAGGTGTAATTAGATTGCAATTATATAGACAGCTCTTTCCGTACCATACGTTCTCTATCGTCTGTCACATTCATTTATATACATAATATAATGTAAAACGGATCCATACGCGCAGTATGGGCATGCGTCATCGTTATTAAAACATCATTGTGGTTCCGTACTAACTTGTAGCACATTGCTCTAATGAAAACATAAGCCGGTAAACATAAGGCCATAATAAGGTCAGTTTACTAACTAGGAATAGTTTAGTTTATATTGGCAATTTTTTTGAGGTTGTTCTGTGAAACCTTGTTGCGTGTCAAATTTCACGTTTCTGAATTACCCTGAAGTACTCCATAGATTTTTATTCCATTGCGACTGTCACAATAAGCAAATCACTTATATTTTTCTGGGCTTAGCGTGTCTATATGTCTATATCTATGTCCCATGGATGTCGATTATAAATTTTTTATTTTTGGTTCTATGACTAAAAGGTACTTGACAAAAGTTGAAGATATCTTTATTTGGAGCAAAGATGTTAAAAAAAATATTTGTGAGACCTATATATTTAAGATAAACCATGAAAACCAGTTGCGTCCCCCCCTCTCCTTCATATCTTAAAAACAAAATTACGTCTTCTGACAAATGCAACTTTTCATTGGACATTGCCGCAACGGAACCCCAAAAATCGTTGAAACTCACGACCTGAGTGATTGTACAAGTGTGAAATCATTTCAGATATATAAAAGTACTCTTTGTGTGAAATGTGCGAACGTACGACGCGATGTCGATTCGGAATTGTAGAGAATGTAATGAGGAGTATGTTTCACAGGAGTACATCCACACTGTCACACAACATTTAAAATAAGTATCGTGGACCAACGATGTATATTCATCTATCTACCTCGTTTGGTATAACCGTATTTTTATTAACCAAAAAACAAAATCCACCTCAAATATCTAGCCTCGTTTTATATTTGATTTTCCAACACCAACACCAATGAACATGGGACCACTTGAAAGCACCCGCTTCCAAATAAAAAAAGAATCATCAAAATCGGTTCTCTCAATTGAAAGTTCTGAGGTAACAATCATAGAAAAATATACAGTAGAATTGAAAACCTCCTCCTTTTCGAAGTCGGTTAAAAATCAAGCATCCATTATCAAATCTACACGTAATTTTCGTTGCAATTTAAAAACACTGACGCCGCGGCTGAGAGTGGTTTCTAAGTGTGGAACGAATTTAAAACGTGTATCCGTGTCAAGGTTCACCCTAGGAGGGATCATCGCTTTCGAAGTTTGAAAAGCTTGATCCAGTAGTACATTAAATTTTTTGACTTTATAAATCTCTTTCTAAAAGTAAAGTAACAGCCTATACATGTCCCACTGCTGGGCAAAGGCCTCCTCTATATAGAGGGTATCAGGGCATAGTCTCCACCACGCGGCCCCACTGCGGATTGGCGGACTTCACATATCTTCGAAATATTTTTTTTTTTGTTATTACTTCGAAAATATGCAGGTTTCCTCACGATGTTTTCCTTCACCGCGGAGCACGTGATAAGACAGCACTTAAAGTTAAAAACTTCATTGGTGCCGGCACCGGGGATCGAACTCAGGTTGCTCGAGTATATTGAATTAAAGGCGATCGCCCGGACACTGAGCTATCACGGCTCGCATCTCTTTCTAACATTCACAATAACTCGCTCAACACTTATAAGTTACCAATTTAATAACGCTCCGGAAGAGATGGAAAGGATTATGTATTGAGATAAAGCCTTACCAACGCCCGCTGATACGAAGAGCAACCATAAAATTCTCTTGAGCCACGATGTTAGTAACAGTATGGCGTGATGAGGTAATCATACGTCGTACGCAGACTTAAAAAATCCCACACATCTGGTATCGACATGTGTACATATATGAATAATGGGAGCGGTTTCCACTTTACGGTGAATTTTATGATATGTATAATTGTATAGGAAACATGATAACATGTTAAGTATAACATGGTATCATGTTTCCTCTATAATAATTAATGAGTACATTAATTATTCTGCATTCTCCTATTCACAGTGTTAACATATAAAGGCTCAACAATGGCTACGTAGCAACTGGCTCTAGTGGAAGTTTTACACTGTCGCGTTTCTTCCGGTGATTGGGGTAGCCGGGATCCACTTTTGTCAATGTTGGCCACGCATCATCAGGTGTTGCTCTTCATGCTGATGATATAAAGTTGAAACAGTTAGAATAAGGACATCTGGAAACGACTCTTGCTCTGCACTTGCAAATCCCCTGGCTGCTGCTGGTTTTATACTTAAATAATCTTGTAAACTTATGTAATTTAAAAAAAAATACTCGTATTTAACATAATAAGAGTTTCTTGCCAGTTCTTCCCTGGCCTAGACTAGTGAACCGGTGGTAGTTTGATGACGTTCAATAAGAGCTTAACATGAGCCTATATTGAATAAAGGAATTTTGACTTTGACTTAGAAAGTTCGTGCATGTTAGTGGAGTATTTCGCCTTGTCTAGAAAGTTAGAGAGACGGGTCCATGAGGATCCAACAAAGTAATTATCGGTGAGCACTGCGAATGATTTGTGAGTGAGTGAGTGCTCGAAGCACTTCAATATCGAATAGTGGCTGTTGACGCTTTTTTAGCTTAACGCTTTAAGGCCTGTGTGTACGTACACTGGAATTGACGTGTGCTTTTGTAACGGTCGTGTAAAAGGGGGCAAAGTGCGCTGTATTTTCACTCGAACACCCGCCACAAGGCTTTTCCGTTTACGAACTTTTAGATTGAACTCGTGGTTATTTTAACAAAACGGATCAAGCGCAGCATGGACTATTTTATTTTTGTTATACCTGATTTGTCGATTAAGCCGTTATGCGGTTACGGTAATAATGACGCCTAAGTCAAATATGAATACAAATTTTCAGGTCTTCCTTAGCTGATAAGCCAGAGTCAGGTATGAAACTTTTGGAGTTTCTTAAGACTTGAATAGTGTAAGGTTCCTGCCGAACAACATCTTGTGTGAGGGTATGAATGAGTAAATATAATATTGGTTTCTCCAAGATATATTCTGTGTAACGCATGTGTACTACTATGACCCAAGTTTGAACATAAAAATTATTGTATTATAAAACATGAAAAGTTAGAATAAATATATAAATATGTCATACTGCTGGGCAGACACTTGGACTAAAGGTAAGGCCGCGAATTATTTTTTAATTTCTATAATGCACAGGATTTGTTTTCCCTCATCGCGAGCACATAACGAATTAAGAGGTAAAATGTAATTAACAATTCTATTGGTACTGTCGGATAAAATACTACTACTTTATTTTGATCAAAAGTAACTGACAGCTGTTGCTTTTAATAAAAATAAAGTATCGCATTTTTCAAGTAGGGAAAAAAATAAAGTATTAGGTAGAAAAAATTGAATTAAATTATTAAAAAAAAATTTTGACGTAGCATAGCAAACGATTTTGCCTTTTGCGTTAAATATTTTAATTAGTAAAAAGTTTCCTCAGTTTGATAATAGAGAGGTATCCGTCATTTTTAAAATGTATGTTTTATTTTACGCATCACAGTAAAGATTAAAAATAGAGTATTTTCACACATTTTTATACAAAAGTGTAAAGTATATTTACCAAAAAAAGTAGGATACATTATTATAAAGTATTGTTGGCAATCCTACCGTCGGCGGCATTTGTTCTCCAGTTGCTCGAGTACACTGCATTAAAAGTGAATGAGATATTACATTTTAGTATAGGACAAATATTACTAAAAGCCTCCGTGTTAGGAATAAATGACTTTTAATTAAATAGAAGGTTAAATGTAGTTGATATGTGATATGCCCTTAAGTTGTTACGTAAATATTGTCTGTAAAGTCACAAAGTTGAAAGGAGCGCTTGCTATTTTCTTGGAGTGAATTATTGACTACAAAACATTCACTACATATTAATTTTTAATTCATTCATTGTAAAAAAATAGTCACAGGCAACAGCAACATATATGTTCTACTGCTGAGCAAAGGCCTCCTCTGTACAGAGGATATTAGGACATAGTCCACCATGCGATCCCATATTTTTTTATCATTATTTCGACAATATGCAGTTTTCCTCACCAATGAACACACGATATGGTCAGTACTTAAAATTAACAATTTCATTGGTATCGGCACCGGGTATTGAACTCAGGTTACCATCAAATTTATTTTATTTAGACATTTTTTAACTCAGACAAACTACCCGGATAAGAGCAAGTTTTGATTAAAAAAAAAATGCAGTATGAAAAAGTATTTGCACGGCACCGAGATCCGAATACGCGACCCCAAATCCGACCAGTCGTCGAGACCGGCTTGCTATCGATTCATTGTATCCTAATGGATACCGCCGGACTTATCCGTTATAACACTGTGAGCCAGCATCAAGTTGGAATTCTTAAACTCGACTCAATATTATCGATGTTGACAATAGTACATTCGAAAAATTAAAAAATACGAACGCATTAAAATAATACACTTTTCCAATCACTTAGCGCGAATACACGCGATAAACGAGGTGAAAACGACGAGACAAAAACATTTTCAAATTGATTGCTATGATGAAAAGATTCGCGAAACGTAGGAAGCACTTGAGAGAAGTAGTACTAATATTTTCTTAAGTGTTAGGATAGACACAGAATAAAGCTAAAATAATAACAATATTATTCTATTATTGTCTATTATTGGTCAACCAAATGTCATCCTCTAGTTTCATGACTGGTCACGTCCATAAAAATTAGCACGTAGTCTATGCTGCACAGATTGCATGCCTTAATTGATGGAATGATCACAGAACCAAAAAAATGTTTCGGGACACAATCCATCTTCTTTGTCATCCACATAACAGAAAACTAATGGATTTTGTTGTTATGTTTTTTCCACTTTCAGTCTCTGGAAATAGTGTACGGGTGTGTTATGCTCTTTTAATATCGGAAAATCTGAACGGAAGCCGAACCAACAACGTTGAAACATTGACCACTCAAACCGTTTATTCCTGCAGTTATTTTCTCCTCTACACACTTGGGGAGGTTTCTAATTTAAGAACAGGATCATACTTCGTGGCCTGTGGAGGAGACCAATGTTCAACAGTGGACTCGAAGCCGAAATGATGATGATGGTGATGATGTTTGCTGTCTTTCAGTTAAAGGTAGTGTAAAAGCGACAATTGAATGTAGGTAAGTTGATTATTGAGAAATTTTAGACTATTATTGAGACAAATCGTGTCAATTTGATAATGCTTCCTCAAGAAATTGATTGTGTACGAGAATTGCCGTGTGCTTTAAAATATTCCACAGCCACTAGCTGTTGCCCGTAACAACTTACCAAATCGCAAAGCAAAATCAAGAACATCCGTATACCGAGCAAAAACTAAAATCGTATCTATCGTATAAATCTCAAAAAAAGAAATTCGCATTAGTGTTATTAAAATGGAAATGGTCGGCGCTTGACGGCTCGGCGATATACCTCCGCGAGGACTTTAGCTTCTAAGTCCCATGGTGGGGATCCCGCCAAAGCACACGCCGCCTCACCGGCCACTGTGCGGTAGCCGCGTATAGCCCTGTCGGCGTTTGACCCTTAGTTAACTTGTAAAAATATTGTGGATATAGCGCGTTTTAGGAATTTAACAACGCCATCTAGTTTTTGCACAGGAACTAATTTCTTGTGTTCTTATTGTAGCTCACCTATGCTGCGTTGTAATTCTATCAATTGAAGAATTTTTTAAATCAAACTTTATTTGTTGAATTTCAATGTCAAATTTCAAGTTATCGTGATACATTTTGTTTATTGGGAGCTATGTCATTTGAAAAAGACTGTTCCAATTGATCCAGTAGCTAATAACGTATATAAACTGATGACGATTAAATGACACTTAAATATTACGGAAGTTGTATTGACACGCTGTCGGGAACCCCGAAAAATCGATCGAGTGAAACAATTGAGTGAATTGAATAAAACATAGCTCTAATGTAATTCATGTACATTTTTTATGTATATCTGTCTGAATGTTACGCCTTCAACCTATTCTACGCAGGCGTAGTCGCGGGCAGCAGCTAGTCTGATAATATTTCCCAATAGTGACCATTCTTATGCTCATAGATGGAGTCGGAAAAATGTCTGGATTACGACGCATCGCACTAGCGGTATTGGCTGCGTTTCTATGACTACACACCTACCTGACGTCAACTCTGCTAGACAAACACACCTAAATATGGAAAATTAATCGTTCGTGGAAGAATTATGTACGCTCTGTGGACTATCAATTGAATTTAGTCAAAAAAATGGCTAAAAGCTAAAGTCAATTTAAGATTTGTAACGTAGTAGTAATATAAACCAGTTTAGTACATTAATGAAATTGTTTGATTTTAAATAAACTCGTCGCTGTACAAAAAATGATTAGACATTAATTTAAACAACTAAAATATTTTCATTGTCCTCTAACTGATTTTGAAAATGTAGATAAATAAAGAAATAATCAAGTAACACACATTACCTGTGTGTAAATAGAAATGTGCGCTGTACGTACTAACTGTGCATATTTATCACGAACTATTTATATTAAAATTACAGTATTCGCAATAACAAAATGTTGAGACATTTTAAGACAGAAAATATCTCCATAAAGGTATTCGAGTCGACGTCTTCAGCAAATAGGCAACGTCAACGTTAGCTTGGCAATTTATTAGGAAATATTGTAGCGGAATGTATAGTAAAAGCGGAAGGAGAAAGACCACCCAACCATCTCAAAGCTTAGTCACGAAGGAATTAAAGTGAGCGGAAAAATCTAATATCTACTCTGCGTAAGTAGAGCTCTCTTCCAGGTTCTCCTTTAACGTCAATTTTGTTAAAAAATATGTTTTACAGATTAAAGCGTGATTGGATCTCAAAGTTTTTGATTACTTCCTGTGAGGGCTTTGACGTTTTACTACTATATATATACCTCTTTATTTCATTTTAATCTTGATGCACTGAGCTCGGAGCATCCGCCTATTCATCAAGCAAAGATCGGCTACGCGGAGTAGCTTCCAAACTTACTTTGGAATTGATTAGGCGGATGCTCCGAGTTATTAGACAGAATATTAGTCAAAGTAATTTATTTATTATTTTGTAGGTGGAAAAATATTACAAATCACATATTTCAACGATACGATAGAAAATGGCCTTTGGCGTGGGTTAGTTTTGAAATCGTGATTACTTTTCTATTTAATTTCAACTAGACTCGCTCGATGGGGTTGTTCATCTTGAGTAATCTTCCTTGTAAGTCTAAACGAATTAAATTCGCTCTTACTTAGAGCCGCCGATTGATTGAACAGAGTTTATGCGTCTAACTTATTCTGTGGTGATGTTTTGAGGCACTATTTAGCTGAGTCGGTGATGGTTAATATTTTTTTCGCTAAGAGTTCTATTTACTCATTGCCCGGTGAATTGACCAGTGGTCGAATTATTTGCCTTCTATAAACATTTATTTGCAGTTTGCTGGTGGTGATAAGGGCACCAGCTCTTTAAGACACGTGAAATCGGATAAGATGGTCGTTTTCAATCTTCCATTCCTTCGCTTACGAGTATCACGTTCATCACCACGATTATCGAAACTATTAAATACGGTATTAGGATGACTAGGAGTAAAAATTAGATTATATGTGATTTTGTTTGTGATTTATAAACATTGGTGGTTGTGCCACGTCGATCTTTTGCATTTGGGGCCAAACCTAGTGAGTATGTGTGGCAATAAGTGAATGTAAATCACTGACGCAAATAAATAATATAAAAAAAAATTTAAAGAAATAGTTATAAATATTTATTTTGTTTTAAATTTTGTTTATCTTTATTATATATGTACTATTCAGTACGGGAATTGTACACAAGAAAGTGTATTACAATTATTTGCAAATTTTCCACTCTGGCATTATCTCTATTGTCGGAATATCCAATATAAATACCACAGATATCCAATATGACCCAAAAGATAGAATGGACTAGGGTATCCTCCATCAACTAAAGACTCTCAAAATCAACCAAACGGTATGTGGATTCAATATATAGATACCAAGTAACCAAAAGAAGGGTCATCCTGTATATCTTCTTGAAAAAGTTGCTATGGGCGATCTACTCACCAGCCTTGTAAGCGAAGTGGGTGTATTTCTGGGTACATTTCCGTATATTCTGCAGCTGGGCATGTATCTCCTTGGACGCCGACAGCTTGGCGCCCTTTTTTCTCCTTTATGCCGCAAGTGTTCCGTCGAAGCTGCAACAGGAGAGAAGGTCATATTAAATTTATTCACATCAAATATTGACGCGATAGCAAGAAACTCTATCGGCCAGTGAACTGTATACAGGATGATTTTATAGGCGACGGACATATTAACAGAGCACATGCAGAATTTGATTCTGAATCTGTAGTTGTGATCTAATTTTTTTAAAGATTATTTTTAATTTTTTTCAAACATTACGGACACCCTATTAGAAATTCCTGCCTTACCGTCTCAATACTAAAAGCATTCGTTGAACGCAAAATTACTAAACCGCTTGTCAATAGGGTGAACACTCTTAACGAGATAAACAATGTTTGAATTGATATTTTTCTGGTTATTTCTTGGTCAATATAAAATAATATTTTTTTTTTATTAATGAAAGGCTCAATTAACATAGCATCAAAGTATGTACTTCGTCTAAAAATCACCCCGTATACAGGTGACTGTAGTAGATAAACGTACCCCGGTACAAAAAATACACACGAAAATTAAGGTGTAGTAGACATATTGGCCAATGAGATCAAGTTGAAATTTGTCTAAATTACGAGGTAATTTAAACAAATTCATTTGTTTTAAGATGTACAATGAAACAAAACGTACGTTCTGATTAAGAGATCCGCGGCCCAAAACAAAAGGGTAAACTGGCAGTGGATGCAAATGGCAAAGTGTGATTCCTTATTCCTTTACATGCTTGAGGCCGTTGTTCAATTGGTGATCATTATCACGTTCACGCCAATAGTGATAAAACTCGAGTTCTTTATCCTGCGCTATTTCAAATTCTATAATACGTCCTGCACGAGAACTTTCAACGGCCTTTGAGCAAATTAGAAACTGACCAGAAAGAGAATCTCTCGACAGTTCCGAACTGCCGCATACAGTGTACGTGATCCGGCGCAAATGACAAGTGGAAAATGAAAATTGCCTAAAAGCATTTCCATCGTCGTGCTCTCGGTAAACAACTCTCAGTAAACTTTTGCGTACATTCACTAATTAATTAAGGAAACTAATACGAAAATGAAATTTACTCTGGAGTAAATGGCCAGCCAGCCTTCCTTCCAGCTCCTCGGTTCGTTTACTTCGTCCGACGTAAAGTTTATATTCTGGCTAAACGTTAACTTCAGATATATGAATAAAAGTTGTGCTTTTGAATAAAAATTTCTTACACATTTCTCTCATTTATGGTTTGGGTTTGTCGACTTCAAGTCGTCATGTATGAGTAACATAATGAATATATTCCATAAAATAAAACAAGTCTTAAAAACTAAATCGAGAGTATGGTTTGGGTTTACGTTTATAACATATAATAATCTTACTAAACGCTTGTTTCTGTGAGGCCGTGGTTCTTTCACAGACGAGACTCATCATTCTTGTACCAGAAATTGCCGAATGGCCCTACTTTAGTAAATATACCACAATTAAAATAAACATGAGAAAATTTTAGATATGATGTCATTTATATATTTATTCCCTTATTCACAAATTAATTTACACATCTCCGTTGTATATGTTAGTTTGTAATAAATTTTCAAAACGGCAACAGATTTTTCTAAAATGTCTCGTGACGATTGTTAAATGATCGTTTCGAATAAATATTATAACTAGATAGTATTATTCTTGCAAAGACGAGATCAGGAAGTTTACTAACAACCATTGTAGGAAACGCCGACAGAAGTGAATCCATATTACTGGGAAAACCAAGAGAGCCTTCAAAAGAAGCAAGGTTCTTCTAAAGAAAACCGCTTGTCAGAAACTACCATTTTCTTCGAGTTATCACAAGCGATATAATGTAATAAATGTTACCTGTTGGTGACTAGGGAGTTTGGATTTCTATCTTCTTCTTCTTTTCGTGTTGATGGCAATACCTATTTACACGACGTCGGCCCAAAATTCAGCAGTGGATTTCTATGAGGCAGACAGTATAAGTTAATTACATATATAGGGTAAGAGATTCGACGAGTATTCACAGTGGTTGTTCAATCGGCCCCGGATTATTTGAAACCTTGTGTTAGCAAACAATTTTCACTAAACAACCATCAACTGACTAAACAACGAGCGATCAAAGAAATTACTGTTAACGTAAAAGAGAGGGTTCAACCGACAACAAATACAGTTATTAAACTCTTTGTAATTATAGTCGAGCACTTCACTATCACTTCCGCTCTGTGATGTCGAATAGTAGCTGTCGAGGATCATCGGATTGAAGCCTTAATTATCTTTTTACCTCTTTTACGATGGGTAACCTATATGTGAAGTATAACTCTTTAAAAAGTACTTGAGAATGAAAGCATAAACATAGATTAACATTATTGTTTAAAATTATCCGCCAGAGCCGCGGGAAGAGTTGCTCATAATTCTGTTAGCCGTATTTGTTTAAATTGGCCTTGGGCAAATGAATTCGACACGGTGCAGCCGGTCGCTATTCGCTCCCTGTAAGTTCGAATCCGTTTTTAGAATCGCTGATCACAGCCGATACGTTTGGTATGTTTCAGCTAACTGGGATTCAACTATGTTGCAAATATGCTTGTAAAATGCTAACCGCTTTTCCACCGGCCGACACACAAGAAATAAGTTTTCCGATCATAATTTTGGAATTGTGAGTTCAATTGCAGAAGACGTATGGGAAACAGTCTGGTCTGAATACCGCATGGAAACATCGAACATTCCACTCCCGTAGGACGATACATCATGATGTTTATAAAGCAATGCAAGTTTGGACTCCATTGTTAATGTTATGTATTTTGATATTATTGTAGAGTAAGAAAAAGGTTTTACTCGTTTTGTAACTTATCTCTCGTTCTTCTTAAATAAATAAATCTTTCAACTGACTTTGGTTATAGAGTTTTGTTTCAAATAGCTGTACATTTTAGTTATATTGTGCTACTATAGTTATTGACGAAATAAATGTATAATAAACCGAATGCATGCAGAATCGACAATTAAAATATTTCATTACGGAGTTATCAAAAGAGCGGATGGATGAACTTGTTTTTCCCTTATGCCCGTCGACACAAAGTCGCCAATAGATACTTGTTGTTAATTGATGCTAATTAATCAGCGGGCGTCGTTCTAGAAATGCAGCTTCTACGACTGCAAATAAGATAACTCAGCTTTCATTGTGTGCTGTTCCAAGGCGTGACGAGTACAGCCTGAGCGTCAATGTAAGGAAAAACACGAGACAGGGATTATTGCACAGAATGTCTGGCCAGCGGAAAAACGTGACTAATATCGAAACGTGTGGTTAATTAAGTCTTTGTTCGCAAGAAAACCGAAATCGCAAAACCTATTAATTGCCTGTAAACTGGTATTCAAACGGGTGAAATGGCCCTTCAGCCACAAAGCGATTGCTGCGCTTGACATAGACGTAATTAAAACTTCATTATTACTGGTCATTCGGTACCCGCTGTCTCTGAATAAAACGGATTCACCAGCTATTATACAAACAAGCTTAATTAATTAAATTTCAGTAATATGGTGCAACAGAAAGCGGTGCATCCACAATTGAAATCACAGAGGAATATTTACAAAAGAGATCGTTAATTAATGTGAGTTCCGACAATTCACTAGATTCTGGCGGTAGTAGCCAAGCAGTTGATGTCAATATTGTTGTTATTTATTTAAGTTTACTTTGAGAACGTTTTACGAAAACCGCTCATTACCACAGTATTTATTTATTTTACAGGAAAATACATTCCAACTAATAATAGGAGAAATACAGATCATATAATTTTATCAAACGATTAAACCAATACTGACGGTATTTAAACAACAAACTAAAGTAGGTATTTGAATATAAGAGTAACAACAGATAAAGAAATAATAACTTGTATTTATAATTTGTATATCAAAAAAAAATAGACCTACTGCATTGCACGAATTAGTTGTCGAATTAAATACGTTTATAAATCGTGTTTTCGTGTTTTTGTATATATATATATATATATATATATATATATATATATATATATATATATAAGTCATAATATATATAATATCATACATATATCATACATATATATAAATATATATAATATCATACATATATATAATATCATAAATTATATGTATAAAATGTATTAAATGTATATATATATATATATATATATATATATATATATATATATAATTTGTGAAACGACTTAACACAAGTCTATACATATATAATCCCTCGCATTAAAGATGCACTAAAACGATAATTTGAATAAAAAAAATATATGAAATGCATATATGCAAAGAATATTTTTTTTAATGTGAAAAGTTGCCAAACGAGCAGACGGTTCATCTGAATATGTAATGGTAAGTGAATACCGCCGCCCATGGACACCCGAGGGTTACAGCTTACGGCAGTTACGGCCACCTCACTCATCAGACGAAACGCGAAAGCATTGTCATACTTCCACTTGACGCTGCCCATTCGTGCAACAGCCGAGGCCGGTGCGTGGCCCTACCACCATGCAAAGAATATATGAAAAATTTAAGCACATGTATGTCCCACTGTCGGGCAAAGGGCTGCTCCGTACAGAGGGTGTCAGGGCCCCTGCGGGTCAGCGGACTTCGTATATCTTTGAAATATTTTGTTTTTTTTTTTTCTTTCTTAATATATGTGCGTTTCCCTATTATGTTTTCCTTCATCACTGAGCAGTTTAGACTTAACTATGCAATAACGAAAAACAAAATCGACTTCAAATATCTCGCTCTGTATTCCTTTTATTTTTGATTTTCGGGAATTCCCGGGTAGCACCAGCTTTCAAATCCAAAAAAAAAAAAAGTATCATCAAAATCAGTTCTCTCAATCAAAAGTTTCAGAACTTTACAAAAATAAAAAAAAAATACAGTCGAACTGAGAACTATCTCCATTTTTGAAGTCGAGAAATGGACTTAGAAACTTAAAACACAGAACGCACATGAAAATTTGTGAACTATGCAACGAAAATGTTGGAATACTGTTATATCCGTGCATTGAGAAGCATCATAAAAAATCAATAGTAGGCAACGA